ATACAGTGAGATTGCAGACAGTTCTGTTCAATGATCCAACAAAAACTCAGTAATAAGGTTTTCCATCCTACACACTTAAATATACATGCAGTTATATCCTTTTTCAGATTTTTTTTTTTTTTTTTGTCTTTTTGGGTACCAGGGATCGAACTCACGACTGCCTGCTTGCAAGGCAGGTGCTTATGCCGCTGAGCTAAATCCCCAGCCCCGCAGTTATATCCTTTAGACCACTTTCTTTTCCTCTCTTTTTTACAATAACACTTAACCATTTACAATAACACTTAACCATTTACAAATCCTATAAGCTATCACTTTGAGAGTGTGAGATATTTGAATGTCACGTGTGTTTTTTTACTATAGGAAATCATTAAGGGGATAGGAGATCATCAGCATTTAATTTCTGGGCACCAGGGAGACTTGTGGGGAAATGGGACACTTGGCATAGGCTGGATGAATGGGTTTGAGTTTGTATCACAGCCACAGGGTAGACAGAACCACTCGTCCTACGGCTCTCAAATTGGGTCAAATTGCAAACGCGCTTGAGGGTTGGATTTAAATAGAGCTCAGGTGGACAGAGCAGTGTGGTGAGTCGGTTTAGCAGTAAATGCTGCTGGCAGCGGGAAGGTTTTGTTTGCTGGCCCTGGGACCTGAGACGCCCATTCCCCAGACAAAAGTGTGCATTTTGTGAGCAGGTGACGCCCCCTCCCAGGCCCAGGAGATACCCCCTGATAAGGGCACAAAGGGAGTGGAAGCCAAGCTTCTCTCACTGCTCTATGGGCACTGACTGTACCCATTATGCGTCTGTCGCCAGGAAACAGGCTCTGGTTCCCAGGTGTCCTTCGATGGCTTTGGTTTCACCAAGCTGGACAAAGCTGAGCACAGTGATCACTAAGCCTTGATGTCCTGGAGACAGAGATTCCCCCAAAAGATGGCACTGGTTTCCCCAGCACAATGGGAGCGACCACCCCCCAGGGCTGTCTGTGGTCCCCAGTGGGAAAGCAATGTGAGCCGAGCAGGTGACAGCCTGGCCCTTAGACCCTAGGGATGGATTTCTCTAACGATTTCCTGTTGGAGGGCCACATAAGGGATAGTTTTGCCAGGGGAGTTTTGACTTTGATTTTTGCAAACTCTTGCTGTGCTGAAAATTTTTTTTATATCTTTATGTCTGGACAAAACCAGAACACACATGTGTGTCTGCGTGTGTGTGTGTGTGTGTGTGTGTGTGTGTGTGTGTGTAAGACTCTGCCTGTGTGGTGGGGTGGGAGATGTAAGAAACATTATTTCTCATCATTCCAGCTGGGCTCTTTGTTTCCTTTCATGTTACACATTTTCCTGGCTTTGCCTGTTACTGGAGGAAGCTCTGGGCAGCCCAACTCGTTCAATGGTCCACTTTGTCTAGGATTGTGATAAAGTCTCCAAACCTGAAAACAAAACGTGGGGAGCAGTTAGGCAACATTGCTTCCAGAGGAGCTTAACTGCTTAAGGGTTAAAGACACAGAAAAATTATAATTTGAGAACTGCAGGGGCCAAGCCTTCCTAAGAAAGCTGGCTTTGTTAGAGGATCGGTTTGAACTCCGTGAAGACAGACAAAATATCTTTTTTGGTCTTACAGCGTAGGCGGGGCTTTGTGGTCTTAAAAGCAAATCTCCAAGTGCATTCTCCTCCTCTTACATCAGCCCACTCTTCTCCTTGTGGGGAAACAATAAACAAAGTGACCACTGTTGATGCTGGGTGTTTTTTCTCGCTCTCCTGCTAGCTCAGGCTCCCGGGGGAGCAATCTTCGACGGGGTGAACCCCTGCCCGGGTAGGACAGGACTTTGGCCCAGCGCAGGTGCAGGTGCCACCCTGGGTCTCCGGAGCCGCCTCTGTGGCTGCAAAGCTCTCGCCCTGGTTTCTTCTTCTCCTTCAGCGTTTGCACAGTCAGCGCCTCCGGCGGGAGGGTGTGGCCCAGAGGCCAGAGCTACCCTGAAAGTACCGTTTGTTCTTGGAATGCGAGGCCCGCGGTCCTCCGCCCCAGTGGCCGGGACAGAAAAGGTCTTTGTGAAGGACAGTGACAAGATGCTGGCCTCCGCCCTCGTCCAGGGCTGGGTGCTCAGATTCGTTCTCACGGTGAAGAAAGCAGAACTGGAGAGGCCGCAGTGAAGCCGGGCTCCTGGTGGCGGGGGAGGGGGCGAGTGGACCCTTTCAGACTGAGATTTGTACAAACAGGGAGGTGGGGTTTTTTGGTTTCATTTTTTCTTTTCCAGTACTAGGGATTGAACCAAGGGCCTTAGCACTGAGATACACCCCTGGCCCCTTTTATTTTTCATTTTAAGACAGCGTCTCACTAAGTTCCCCTGGCTGAACTCTTAACTTCCGATCTTCTGATATTCCTGCCTCAGCCTCCCAGAGTGTAGGGCACGTGACTGTACACCTGTCTGTATCTCCTACTTCTTATTCAGTGTTGCTCTTCCACACTTCACCTCCTTTCTCCCTCTCTCTTTTTATTTGAGGTATGAGGATTGTAGGGGTTTTTTTTGTTTTGGGTTTTTTTTTTTTTTTTTTTTTTTTTTGAGGCTGGAAGTGGTGCAACACACCTATCATCCCAGCCCTCAAGAGGCTGAGGCAGGAAGATCTCTGATTTTGAAGCCAACTTGGGCCACAAAGTGAGTTTAAGGCCTGCCTGAACTACATAGTGAAACCCTGTCTCAAAAAGATAAAAGTAAATAAATAAAATAAAAATTTAAAAAATGTTTGTTGAGACAAAGTCTGAGCTGCCCAGGCTGGCTTTGAACTTTGATATTTTTTTTTTATCAGTACCGGGGATTGAACTCACAACCACCTGTGTACAAGGCAGGTGCTTATGCCACTGAGCTAAATCTCCAGCCCTTGGCCTTGAACTTTTGATTCTCTTGCCTCCCGAGTAGCTAGGTTGACCGGCATGCATGATAGTGCCAGGTTCGTGGCGTCTGCTGAGCTCCAGCACTGTCACGGGGCACCCTTGGTGCCCTGGCGTGTCTGTCTCTCTGTCTGGGATTCCCAGCCTCCCTCTGCTGGGCGGCTTCCCTCTCCCCGCCCCTGGGAGCAGCCGCGCTGAGGCTCCCTTTCACTCAGTTCTGCGGGGAGACTCTGCTATCTTTGCATCCATTACGTTCTACTTGGCATCAGCGTTGTCTGCCTTCATTTCTCTTTTATTTCCAACCACTTACGAAGCACCCCAAAAGGCTCTCCCGGAGCAAAAGATCAGCCTTTTTTATACTGCTCTTATTTAAATGTCATCAACACAGTGGGGTGCGGGGCTAGTGCCTTTGGCAATACCCAGAGGTCAAATTGGATCAATTATGTGAGTCTCATCTATTATTGAATAATCACTAAAATGACAGAAAATATCAATCAACCAACCAAACGGCTAAGGCAAGCCCTCTGTGTTCTGCTTCAGAGAACAAAGGCTGAATACTAGAGAAACAATAAACGCCGACTCCTGAAAATATGTCAAACCAAAGACCAGCTCTGCTCTTCTGTGGCTGGGAAATATGCAAAAATCGCACAAGAAAACATCCTGGAAAACAGTTCCATTTATCCAGGGAAAAAAGACCAGAATATAAGACATGAGCAATGCTGGAACCTTTGAGAATTCTCCGTACTTTTCCAGCATCTTCTATAAGAGCATTGTTTTGCTCGACAGCCTACAGTAATCAGCTTTTAGTCACATGTCTGCATTGCTTTTTTTGAAGGTGACTCCCTTTTCTTTGGGAATAAAAAAACATCTTGTAGAAAATACCATCGTAATGTCTGATACATTAAAAGTGGCAGCGCGGCAGGGTGGGTTGTGTGTGTGTGCGGTTTATTAATTGAACGGAGGTCCCCGGGGATCCCAGAGAGGCAGCAAGCTCTCCATTTGCCTTGTGAAAAGAGGCTGTAATGCATGGATCGAAAGCCACAAGGCTGGGCTTCTGATTAGAGTCAGAGCCGGGTGGGTCCTGAGACACAAGCTTTTAGCTGGAGCTGCATTTCTGGAGGCCAGTGGGCATCTCCTCCTCCTCCTCCTCCGCATCCATTAGGGCAGCTGCTGTTCTCAGGAAGCCCACGGATAGGAAGGGCAGAAAAATGAGCAAAGGAGGAAATTTGATATTGATTTTCTCTTCTTCGGTAAAACTACATGAACGATCAATACCTGGTGGCAGTGACTTGGTCAATAAGACTCCATTTGAGCCCACCTTAAAGTGCTCATTTTGGACTTCCTCTGCTGTCAGATTCATTTATATCCAATCACCATTGGTGCTCAAATACTTTAAGATTTTTTGTTTTGTTTTGTTTTTCTTTTTGACGCAGGATTTCCCTATGTAGCTAAGGCTGGCCTTGAGCTCATTATGTAGCCCAGCCTGGCCTCCAACTCCTGGTAATCCTCCTGCTTCAGCTTCCTGAGTAGCTGGATTATACTATTCAATTTTTCAGTGAAGTTTTTTATGTATAATCCTCACTGCAGTGAAGATTTTGCTAAAGATAAAGTCATGAAAAATGAGAACAAAGGTCAGCCCCTCCTTTTTGGCTAGAAAATCAACAGCAGAAAAGACTATATCTGAAGTGGGCATGGTGGTGCACACCTATAACCCTAGCACTCTGGGACGCTGAGGCAGGAGGATTGCAAATTTGAATCCTGCCTGGAAAATTTAGCGACTCGACAAGATTCTGCCTCAAAAATAAAAGGGCTGTGGATGTAGTTCAGTGCAACAGCCCTGGATTCAAACTCCAGTACCAATAAAAGGAATCCAAAAATCTAAGGTGGGGGAAATAGAATAAAGTGAATAGTGGGTTTTCTTGTTGTAAAGCAGTGTTTTGGTGTTGGGATGTTGCTACACTTCCCCGGGTTTGGACCAAGAATGAGCAGCATGCTTCCTGCAGAGGTGCAGAGGGAAGGACGGTCCTTTGTGTTGGCCTTGGTCACACTGCTTTCTAACTTTTCTTGACGCTTGGCATATGCAGGAGACATGCTAAGTCTTTCTATGGTTTCTGTCCCGCAGGGAAGCAATAAGTCGCTTGTGCGAAGCTGTGCCCGGGGCCCATGGAGCCATTAAAAAGCGAAAGGTAAATATTGATGTGGTTTACGTTTTTTCTAACTGTGGCACAGATGGCATCGAAGGAGTTGCCGGCTCGTCCCACTCTGTGAGGCCAGGTCCTGCCTGGCCTTCCTTAGGGGGTGTGATACCAGAGCTGCACCCAGAGGTGCTCTCTGACCCCACTGTGTGACGCAGGGTGCCTGCCTGCCCTCAGCGTGGTGTCCCTCTCTCCCCGAGATGCTGGGCTTGTCCTGGGAGGTTATGCAGTTCAACCACATGGCCAGTTCGGTGTCTTCCGGTTTTGGTGTTGTATAACGTATGTGATTTACATTTTAAACTCTATGACTTTTTAGACTTTCTGGTCTGTTTTCAAGTGACAACAGGCAGAGAGGTGAGGTCAGAACACCTGAGGGGGAGGGACCGTTCACACTGAAAGAAAGCAAAAGTTCAAATGCCAGATGTACTTGGGTTGAAATCCCGTCTCTGCCATCCCGTAACTGTGTGACATTGGACAAGCTGCTTATTCACTGGATCCTCAATTTCCCCATCTGTAAGATGGGAGCAAACAGCACTTTCTGAGGGTTATATAAGAATGGAGTCATGTCCACGGAGTGTACCTCAGTGTGATATACATATATGAGACCTTTGATTTTATGCTGATCGTATTGCCGTCGCTACAATGCTGTTAATTCTAGAATGAAATGCCCAGTGAGGAGTTGCAGAAGGCTCTCGAGGTCAAAATCCAAATCCTACAGTAGTGGACAGTTTAAGAAGGGGCGCTTTGGAGAGAATCTGGTCTACCCCTTTCGTGTTGCCAGCCCCAGGCTGGTCTGAGGGAAGAGCGGTCACTAGGGTGATGGAGGACACAACTGGCCACAGTCACCGAGACTGCCAAGTCCTAGCTTAGTGCTTTATTTCTGTGTCCCCTGCCTCAGTCTGTGTTTACTGTTCTTCCTCATTTACATAGGGCTGAACCCAGGGTCACCCAGCGTGACTCAGCGGAGCCACTGGGTTTGGGAACTCTGGCTCCTGAATTCTGGGGAGGGTTTCTTACTACTGGCTTCTTTGATGGAACTCAGGACCCCAAAGCCACATCTAGATGACGACTCCTCCTTCTCCTCCTCATCTCTGAATAGGGTACTTCAACTGGAGGATCCTAACATACAGACTCATTCATTGAAAACTTTTATTTTGGGAATAGGGATCTCCAAACCCCAAAACAAAACAAAAGAAAAGAAACCTGGCTATCAACTTTCCAGAAGGTACACCCATGAAAAAAAAACAGAAATTTTAAAATTCGTTTCCTTCATTTGATTGAGTACTTCATTTAAGGAGTGATTGAATAACACAGTGAATATTTAAATGTTTAAAAATAGATTATAGTCAAAGGCATAGTGCTGTGAATCTCTCTCAAAATATTCCTCCTTGATTCAAACGCACTGGTCAACCGTTCTTGCCGCTTTCTGGAGTAGCTCTGAAAGTCCTCTTTTGTGAGTGTCTTTAGCTTTGCTGTCCTGGCTTCCTCCGTGTCTTGAAACAGTTCAGAATGCTTCCTTTCACGGTCACTGTGGCTTTGGGGAAGAGCTGGAAGTTGCAGCGTGAGACCAGTGCATAAGGTGGGTGAGACACAAAGTCATGTTTGAAGAAGCCAGGCTTTCTGTTGGGTGGCCCTGGTGCCTTCCATTCACCACTTTAGAAAGACACACAGGAGAGCTCCCGAAACTGCTTTAGACGGTGGCGTTGGCGGGAATACCGGCATAGGTGTGTTTAGAAGGGGTTCACAGCCATGTGTCTTCTACTCTAAATTTGTTAAAATTTAAACACACACTATGTGGTTTGATAGCCCTAGGGACTCTTCCCAGAACTTTGCATTTTTATTCTTGTCCAAATTTTTTTGACTGTAGTAAAAACAAAACAAACAAACAAAAACCTACACATAACACATGGTGAATTTATCAGATGATCCAGGTGTCACCTTAGCCGTTGTTACCTGTAAGTACCTAGGTCAGGGGCACTGCTTTTCTAGTCTCTAAATCTTTGGTGTCTAGCCTTTATTATTTCCTTTGTTCTACCAGCTTTGGGTTTAATTTGCTCTTTTCTTAGACCCTTAAATTGTAAAGTGAGGTGTTTTACTTGAAATCTTCCTTTTTTTAGTGTAAGGTTTGATGCCTGTAATTCCCCTGCCAACCCTGCTTTTGCAGTGTTGCATAAATTTTGATACCAGGCTTTTGTATGTATCTCTGGCTTTTTTATTGGTACCAGGGATTGAACTCACGACTTTGTGCTTGGCAGGCACTTAGCCACTGAGCTAAATCCCTGGCCCTTGCGTGTGGCTTTGTGAGAGAGGGTCTCACTGTTGTAGCCCAGGCTGGCCTCAGCCTCATGGCAACCTACCTCCTGAGTGTTGGGATTAGAGGTATGCACCACCATGCCCAGCTATGCTTTGTTTCTTGCTTGCTTTTTTTTTTTTTAATACCTTGTTAATTTGGGGGGGAAATCCCCAAAACAACAACAACCTCCAAATAGCCAGGCCTGACAGCTCACATCTGTAACCTCAGCTATTAGAAGGCTGAGGCATGAGGCTGAGGCCAGTCTGGGCAACATCACAAGCCCCTATCTCAGAAAATAAATAAATTTTCAAAAACCTGAACCTGTCCTATTATCACCATTTGACAGGTGAGGAGACTGGGGCCCCTGGGGGTTAAGGAACTTGCATAGTGGCCCAGTCGATTGAAGTGGGTGGAGACCAGGGTGTCAGCCTGCGGGAGCCACACCCTTACCCATGATGCTCTCTGCTTGTCTGGCCTGGCATCTGTCCCCAGCTCAGGGAGCCAAAATCTGCTAAGCAAAAGGACCGGAGGTTCCTGAGGGCCTGTGTAACACAGAGTCCAAAGAGCCAGACTGCTGTGTCAGTACCGACAGACCCGTTCATGAAGGGCAACTACTGGTCTCGTTTGTGGGATGGGGCCCAGCACCACCCAGCCAGCCTCCGCTCTCCCCCGCCATGCTCGGCCTCTCCTTTCTGTTCCCTTCTCCTTCCACCCGGCAGCCACCCATCCCCAGGCCAGGGCCCCACAGTCCCACCCTCTTCTCCACTTAAGACACAGCACTGACAATCAGCGTGGTTTGTTAGGATGTCGCCGGGTCCTCTGCTTTATTGCTGAGCTGCGCTTTTCCCAGGCCAGGCCTGGGCACAGGGGAAGAGTGGAATGGTAGTGTCACTCCAGCTGTGTAAACTGAGTCACCAGAGGGCTTCAGAGGCTCCCCCCCCCCCCGGAGGCCCTCAGCCAACTCCCCAGAGGTCCCTGGGTCACCTGGCTGGTGGAAGCCAGGCTGTCTCCCTGCCAATCCTGCGTGGCCACAAGAAACCACATGCTCTGTTCTGTGGCCTACAGGCACTCAGGTCATTTCTGTGACAGTGGAGGACTCTTGTCTTCCTCTCTGCAATAAACATGCATGGAGCATTTCTCCCAAGTTTAAGGTTATTTTGAGGGCAAGATTAAGATGTGTGTGAACATTCTTCACAAATACCAGATGCTTGTCAAGGCTGGTATTATTATCCAATTAGTATTTAATAACAATTTTATTTATTTATTTATTTATTGGTACCAGGGATCAAACTCACGACCTTGCACTTGCCAAGCAAGTGCTTGTGCCACTGAGCTAAATTCCTGGGCCCTAATAACAATGAAAAAAAAAAAAAAAACTAGCATGGAAAAAAAAAAACCTCTGCAGAAATAAATGAGTGATTTGCTGTTAAATGCCATCATCTTAGAGGACAAAAGAATCCTGAAACTTTGTGGCCAAGGGCAGCATGACAGGGAAGACAGGCACTGTCTTCACTGTTAAGGCACCGTCAAGGGTCAGCTTGGTGACAAAGGGAGAGTGAGGCTGTTTGGACACCTTCTGTTTTCACTGCATTCTAGAATGTGCAGGGCACCGGGGAAGAAAATGGAAACCTAGGCACTGAATTCCAATAATGTCTGCCTGACCTCTTGCTGTGGTTCCAGAAGGGATCGAATAAGAGTAAATACACAAGTGAGGCCAGGAAAGGAGCAAATTGTGTTTCCATTGATGGCCTGAAATATTGATCCTTTTTTTTTTTTTAAGTACTCGTCAATTTTCTGTCCCCAGTTTGGCTCTTTCCAGCCAAGGGGTGCAAGTCTTAGTCTCCCAGTCTGTCTCTTCGAACCTCAGACTGGGAAACGTAATGGTAATAACAGCAGCTCGCATGCACACAGCCAAGTGCTATACCAACTGTACTCCACTTACCATCTAACTTAATCTTCACACCACAACAGCTCTAACAAGACATCTACCTTCTTTCCCATTTAATAGGAAAGAAAGTTGGGGCTTAGGAAGGTTATTTGTCCTAAGTCATAAGCCGCTAAGTGACAGGACTGCTTGAAGAAGCTGTGCGGTCCCACCTCTCACCTCTCTGTGCATCGGTACCTCTGCCTTTAAACTCCCAAGCATTCTCTCCTCTTTCTAAGAAATCCCTGGTCAAGAATTTCCGTTTTATCCTGCTGTAGTGGTGCACTCCTATAATCCCAGCACCTAAGAGGCTGTGGCAGGATGATTATTGCATTTTGGGGTCAGCTTGGGCTGCGTAGTGATTTCAAGGTCTGGACCACAGAGTGAGAGCCTGTCTCAAAAAAATAACAAAACAATAACTTTAACAAAAATTTCAAAACTTTCCTTTTCCTCAGGATCTTCCTCTCTTTCCCGTTTGTAAATTCTGGTAAGCCAGCTTATTCATGAATTAACAGAGAAAGGAGTCTAGGTCATATTTGTTCATTTTAACAAGGACCTTGGTCTGAAAACAGTGACCTAGAAAGGTGACCAAAGGTGGGGTTTCAAGTACGGGTCACTTGAGGGCAGCCACCAGGCTGAAGCACTCTGCGGCTTCAGTGGTAGGATTCGTGCATTCTCGGCTTTTCCTTTATTTCATGTGTACTGAGATGGACATGAGCCCAGCTGCTGTGGACTCACCCAGGAATTTCTAGGTACAAAGCATCTGGGGAGATGGACAGGACAAGAAAACTTCAAGGGCCTCTAATATTTGACTTACAAAAGAATTTGTTGCATTCCCAATTTTTTAAAAAAATATTTTTAAAATGAAAAAGCAACTCACCTCATTGATTTATATAAAGTAGAATAGAGAAGGCCCCTTTTTAACATCTAGAAAACATGGCCCATCTGTTAACAACATCCATAACTCACAGTGTTGTGTCTGTTATTTTTAAAGGCTCCCCTTAAGTTCCTCTCGGCAGTTCTTGGAAAGAGTAATCTCCAGTTTTCTGGAATGAACATAAAGCTGACCATCTCAACCTGCAGCCTCACACTGATGAACCTCGACAACCAGCAGGTAAGACAGAGGCTGCTGCTTGTCATTTGATGCAGCTCTGTTTTTTGGGAAGTCTGAGAGTACTGATAAAAATAAAGTGTCCGACAGAGAATGCTCACAGCTCAATAAGCCAAAATAGAAAAGCAAAACTCTTCGCAAAAATGTAGGCGTAAATCTTGGGGCAGCCATATTGGAAATTATCTTCAGTAATTAGAATAATAGCATCACAAAATTACTGTTGGCTTTTAAGTGTGTACATACTTGCTGCTTCCTAGTTGGCTTTGTATGAAGAGCAGAGGTTTGAAGAACATAGTAAACAGCACTTGCTAACTAATACCTTTAGTCTGGTCATTGATGAATGTCTGCCAGCTCTCCCAGGGGAAAAGGGACTCCCTGATCATAACTGAGTATGTTGGACTGGGTTGCTGATAAGGGACAGAGGGGAAAAGGTGATGTCAGGGAAACTGTTCTAGGTAACTAAAATCTAAGTAGAAGATGCTTTTCTCCAACTCATATGGCGGAAAAGCTTTTTCCAGTATTATGGTGCAAACAAGATTTTTTCTTTCTTAATGATTTACAGTATGCCTGAATTTTTGCTGATTTCTTAACCTCATTTCTTATAGAACAGCTGTTATGGTTTGTGTCTTGATGTCCCCCCCCCCAAGCCTGCTGGGGATATGGGGTGGTGGGCTCTTTGGAGGTGGCTGAATCTGGAGTTTGTGATTGATTCATGGTCTAGTCCTGGCATTAATGGTGTGAGTGCTGCACCCACACTAAGGCAGGCAGCCTGCATACAATATAGGGAGGAAAAGAGGTTGGCGCCTCCCTTTCTGCTCTTGTTGCCTTCTGCCACCGTGAATGGTTGCCACTCTGCCAAGCCACCTCATCTTGAAGTCAGCAGATTATGGACTGAAACCTCCACAAACTGTGAGCTAAATCAACCTTTCCTCCCTTAATTTGGGTTGTTGGGTATTTTGTCTCAGCAACAAGAAAAAAGTAACTAAGACCACAACCTTGCTGAAGAAAATACAAAATATATACTATGGGTGATCCACACATATGGAGAATATTTAAATTAAAAACATTTTTACAGTAAAACACACATGTAGTTCCTCACTTAATATTGGGGTCTCCAATCAATATTGGGGACAATGGCGCTGATCCCTATGACTTGAGTCACAAGGAGAAGGCTGATGGCCACTCTAGTTATTAAAGGAGCTCACTGTCTGAAAAACATAACAAGAACAAAGGTGTCTTTACTAAAGGAGAACAGAAGGGAGTTCGAAAGACAGTTCAAGGAGAGTACGTGTTCTGCTTGAGCTGATAGCGTTGGGCCAGCTGAGCTCAGAGGCTAGAACAGATAGGCTTGGAACGCTCGGGACAGCACAGGAAATCTGCTTACCTCCTGGTTACAAAGGCTGTGGGCTTCCTCCAAGCCACCTCACTCTGTTTGCACAGAGTCCTCAGCTGGCCTGTCAGGACCGCCCCATCTCCAGTCTAGATGCAAAGCGCTTCACGTATATATTTTCAGTGCTGGCTCCCACAACACACTGCCACTAAGCCCCTCTTGAATCCTCCCCCTCACTTATCCTATCTCTCTGGTGGCAGCAGTTCTGGAAGTCTTATTTTGTGATTGTGTTTATAAGGTGTGATCAAAAATCCAGTGAATGGAGCTGCCCTGTCCATCCAACAGAAAGACAGGCTCGTAAACACACGACGCTGTGTCCCCCATTCAGCTTATTCACCAGTCGCTCTGTGATCTCTGGGTCTTCCCCAAAGTCAAAATGATCATGAAAGGGAAATGTTCTTAATTGACTGAGAACACTGAAGCAGCCAGGAGAGCACAGCTACAGACTCTCAGGAAAGAGGACTCCAGAGCTGCTTCAGAAAGAGGCACAGACAATGGGATAAATGTGTTGCAAGTGAGGGGCACTATTTTGAGGGGAACTCGTGGCAGTGTGTCTTTTTTTTTTTTTTTTGTCTTTTTCCTTTTTATCTGTACTGGGGATCAAACTCACGACTGCCTGCTTGCAAGGCAGGCGCTTACACCGCTGAGCTAAATCCCCACCCCGCAGCAGTGTGTCTTTTACTGTAACACATGTTTACTTAAATACTCACCATATTTTTTGATTGCACCTTGCACAGGCATCGGGCTAACCACATAACTAAACTATGATACTCTTTTTGACTTGCTTGTAATTTTTAAATGGCATTCTTTGTGCTCAGCTATTTACATGTGCTGAAGTCTGGTTTCTGTCTCTCTGATATGTAGTAATTGGAGGCTCTGAGTGTTAAAGGTTTTACTCTATGCTTTGACCAAAGATGCACGGAAAGGTTGAATGTGCATTGGTAGTGATAAAACCCTAAGAAGCTTGAGGTCACATCGTGGGTGAAATAATGACTTTGCAACTTATTAGCAGCTGCTGGAATACTCTGAACTTTGGTTTTCGTCCTTGGTGAACTGGAACTCCCTGCATGGGGGTTTCTGACAGGATGGATTTAGCAATGAATGTGTAAGAGGGCTGTTTAGAGGATTAAATGAGGTACTGGATATAAATCCGTCAGCACAGGGCCAGCGTCGAGGTAGTGGTTCTTCCTATATGTCCCCAGTACTAAATGGGAAAAGTGTAAACTATGCAACTCTAAAAGTTTCGGTAATATAGAAGCACAAGGTTTGAGGGCTGCCTTGTTTTCCAAATTCAATGACAGAACACTAAATGTTTCACATGAAAGAATTCAAACGATTTCTGCTTGGTCGAGTTGATTACCCCGGAGAGGGGATCCACTGCTATGTCGATGCATAACTGTTTGGGCTGGTGAGGCCCCCATCATCCATGTGTTTTGACCTCATCATCTAAAGATGTAGATTTCGTTTTAGTTTCTGCCCATGTGCTTGGTACCATAGAGGCTCAAAGCTTTCAATCATGAACTCTCCCTGCCTCTTATAAGGAAGTTGAATTACCTGAGAGCTCTGTAGAAGACGAAGAACAGGCAGAGCTGGAGCCTTGTAGGCAGGCGAGCTTCCACTGCTGCATCCATGATGAGCCTTTGAGGCCACTCACTGCTGATTGTCTGCAGGGTCGGCCTAGAATGGGCTGGGTTCAGCCCACTGTTAAGAGTGGGAACCACAGCTGGGCTCTCACCGTTCTCAGGCCCAGGGGCTGATTTGGAGCTATTCTGCACCCTTAAGGGTGGCTCCTTCACTTCAGGAAGCTGTAGGTGTCCCCCAGAGGGCAGTTAAAATGGTCAGGGGAGAGAGACCTCATGAATGTTGCACGAGGAAAAGATTTATTAATTAATGAAAGCCGGGCCTGGACACGCAAAGAAACACAAACGCACCTCTCTCTGCTAACTTCTAAGGTACCCATTGGGCTGAAAACATAAAACATGTTCAGGTTTACAGATATACCCGTAAGTGGTACCACTGACTGGTCGGGTGCTCGCGTTTATTTCCAGTCATTAAAATTATAATCATTACTCCCATAAACGTTTCATAGACCCTCAGAGGGAGAAAATATCATTAAATAAAACATATAATGTCTTCCAGTTGCCATGTTTTTGGAGTAAGGGAGTACATTATGGAATGACAAGTTGTTGGAGTTTCTCTCCTTTCTTTTTCTTGACATTGGAGGTTGAACCTAGGATCTTCACACTGAGCTACATTCCCTATCCTTAAAAAAATGTAAGTTTTGAGACAAGATCTCATCAACTTGCCCAGGATGGACTCAAATTTGTGATCCTCTTGCCTCAGCCTCCCAGAGTGCTAGAATTACAAAGCCTGTTGACACCATGCTTGGCTCGTTTCAAATTCAAGAGACAGACCTTTTTAATATTAGTACCCCTTTCCCTTATCTGCGGGGGATATGTTTCAAGCCCTCGGTGGAAGCCCGAAACCACAGAAATACCAAATCCTATGTATGTTCTTTGTTCTCACTTTGGCCACCTCAGCATAGGATTTGCTTTCTTTCCTTAAGTCAGTAACTTTCACTTTTTCAGTTAAAGGAAGCATTCACAGCTTCTCTGTCACACTCAATTTCCAGGTGCTTTGTGCTTTGCACCCATCATTAAATACAGTGAGGCTGCTTCCACTTGGTACCTCAACAGTGGGCCGAGTAACTGAAAAGTCTTCCAGCTGACTGTCAGGCGGGTAGTGTACACAGCATGGACCCACTGGGGGAAGGATGAGTCACATTCCACCATGTGGCCACTGTGTGGGAGAGAGCTAGGTGGCATGAGCTCTCACCCCGCTCATCACATGGTGTGCAGTAAAATTTAGTTACTCCTGGACTTTTCCACTTAAAATTTTCAGATTGCAATTGACAAGTAAGTGAACCTTAATCATGGATAAAAAGAGAGAGTTGTAAGTATTATAGGGCTTTAAGCAAAAACGTCAGTCTCGTCAGCTCCCGTTCATACTCTTTCCTCCCTCCTACAAATGTCACCCGTTTTAATGGCTGCTGCACTGAGAAAGTAAGAGACCTAAGAAAGATCAAAAAGTCAGAAAATGGATACTCAGAGAGACTTCAGATATCTGGAGTTCAGGCAGACAAAGTGAACAGTCCAGGTCTAAGAGGAAACTGACTCAGGCACAGCCATGAAGGGTGTTGCTGTGCTGGGGAACCTGACAAGCGGCACCTTCCCTGGGGAAAGGTGAACCCTGTGAGGTCTAGCCGTAAGGCCTTGCCAGGCGCTGCTAGATATTCCACTTTTGCAAAACAAACAAACAAACAAACAAACAAATGGGGGAGGGGAACCCTGGGTATTTAGCTGCTGTGTCTGTATTGAAATGTTGGTCTTTAATTAAGAAATCAAACTTATTAGCATGAGCCAAACAAAACAGACCTGTCGCCCGAGGCAGCTGATGAGAGACTCCAGATGTGAGGGAACATAGTACATAGGACTAGATCTGGACATGCTGGAAAATAAATTTCCCTATCACAGTCTCAACACTCAAACTTCTTTACAGTTCCCAGCCTCGTCCTGCGTCACCTCCCCTTGTGAAGTCAGTATCTGAGTTTTCCCAGAATCCCTTTCTTGGTCCTGAGTGAACACACACACACACACACACGCACACACATGACCTGCACTTAATTCTCACAATTTGAAAGGTGCACCCAGTTACTTATCCCTATTTTTAGTTTAGCACTCTCGCCAGAGAAATTAAGTTTACTGAGTTACTAGTCCAGTGGAGACCAAATTTGAAGCAGGTATTGATTCCAATCTGTGGCAACTTTAACATTAAAAAGAAGACAAAAGTTAAAAAAAAATGTTACCTTCAGTAAATGAGTGCTTAATCACAACTGATTGCCTAGTTTTTAGATCCAGGACCAGCCACCTAGGGTATAAAATAGTAGCGTAGAGTGGTCTTCCTTGGCAGTATGAACCTTCAGGTATCACGTCTTTCATTTCCTAGTTGATCCCAGAAACAGAATCACAGCTTGTCAGTTTCTAGCCCTAACAAAAATGGTTTTTGTTTTTCCCTGAGGCTATCTTTCCTGCCATCTTTGTCTGAAGGTTGAAAGCAATAGGCCAGCTGATTGTACACTGACCTTAGTATCCCTTGCCCTAGCACTGTTCATTTACACTGACACACAACTGTCCCTGTACACTACCCACATCGACTTTAGCTACCAGATAGGAGAGAGCAATGAAGAGGTGGAACATGGGAAGACAGAGGGTTCAGCACCAGTTTCACTTCCTGTTTGCTCCAGCTCTCCCTCCTCCTCCCAGCCAAGCTAGTGTCGGATTTTTATTACCCTTGTCACAGTCTGTTTTATAGCATCTCTTCCCCAAGACAGGATGAGTGCAAAACAAGGCTCTGCTGTGCTGCTCTACTGAGATGTTCTTTGCTGTCACCATGGAATAGGAACAACCAGAACTTCTTAGTGATCCTAAGACATGCTAATATTCTGCAGCATAGCTTGATGAAACTAAAATGTTCAAGGAGCTTCAGGAACTCAATAAAATAAGCACAAGCTCATTGCTAGGGCAGATTTTCCTGGGCTGGTAAATTCTTAAGACAATATTTAATTTACTGTTTAACTTCCAGAAATTAACCTATAAATTGGGCTTTCAAGCTGGGTCATTCCTTTTATATATATTGGTTGTCTAAATCATAAAGTGGATGCAATATTGTACTCCAATAAAAGGTAGCACACAATGTATGAGATACAAACAACATACACAGAACAAGAAATTTTTATTATCTTCAATGCTGGTGCATAAAGAATAACAATCTTAATTAGAGGAGGAGACAGAGGGAAACATCAGATATTGAGGTGGATTTCTGGTCAGGCTAATTGTTCAGTCTTTAGATATAGGGCTTTCCTTTTACAATTTTCACTAACAGTTCTTACAATACAAACTAAAGTCTTTCATAGGTCAAGTTAAATGAAAAACAGCAAGCATTAACAGAATATCCTTAGTATATCAGGGTACTAGAAATAACCTGTTTTCTTTGTACTTCCACATACACTTTAATATCTAAATTTGAAACTTTTAAAAAAGACATTTTTTTGACTTTTAAAAATACCATAGTCATGACAATGGATTTTCCTGAAGTAAAGATCATAAATTTATAAATGATCAAGATACAGGTACAATCTCAGATGCTCTTGGAAACACAAAATTTAAGGGTACAGCACATGCGATACATAGTTTTAGTTTGCTTATCCTTTTGGGATTATGAAGAATAATCGATTCATTTTATGCTGCAAATTTAGTCTTTGATTACTACGACTTGGATAGATCACAGGGTAGAATTTGAAGTTTTCTCAGTAGGCTTTCTTCCAAGTAACAAGCCATCTTGTGGGCACACTTTTTGCTTCATTTCGTATTTCCCATCAGTGGGCTCTTGTATTGGTCGTCATTTACTCTTGCAAAACCATCTTTACTGCAAAACAAACATGAAAGCGATCTTCCCCAACGCAAGGAAAATAAACTACATCGGTAACAAAGTCCAAGCCATAGGTGCCCCAGGCTGTTCTTGGAAAGCAGACCGGTCAACGGTCCCAAGATCTTTGCCTTTCGTTTTTCTTTTCCTTTCTCACAACTGTGCAGTCACTGTCCTTGTCTTCTACTCTGAAAAACAAAAACAAAAACAAAAACCCCAACCCTTCTGTGTGAAGATCAAGTGTTTTCATTGGCACAGAACGATGTAGAATAAACCCCGAAGGCGGCGGATGTTGGATCTCCCCTCCGATCTTCGTGTCCTCCTCTGGGCTGGGCTTCCGATGACTACTCTTTGTCAATCATCTCGTCGCACCCGAGTTCCTCGGTCAGGCGGTTGACGACCATCAGCGAGAAGAGCTCCTCGATGAAGGCGAGCTGATCGAAGGGGGTCTTCTCATAGTGCATCTGGAAGCCGCCGTCCAGGGCGGCCTCCCGCGCCCGCGAGCTCCTCAAGAACATCTTGTTGGCCTCCTCCAGGGCGGCCGAGACGCGGTAGCCCGCCCCGCTCAGCGGCTCCTCCTCCGGGTAGTCGTAGTCATCCTCCCAATCATCCAGCTCCTCGGCCTCGTCCTCGCCCTCCAGACCTAGGCCCAGGCCCAGGCCCGGCTGCTCTGCGGGGCTGGCTCCGCGGGCCAGGCCTGCTCTCCCGCGCGGCGCCGCCATGGGCTGCGCGCCCTCCTCCTCCTCCATCGGGCCTTCCTCCTCCAGCAGCAGCGCGGCCCCACTGCGGGGGGCGCTCAGGGCCGCCTCCCGGCTCCCGCCGCCGCCTACCTCCATCTGGGGAAGGTCACCCTCGCCCGGCATCACGTCCATCTGCTGGTCGTTGCACTCTTCGTACAGCTCGCACAGCTCGGCCATCTCCGCCATGGCTGACACCGCTGGACCACTAGCGGAGTGCTCTTGCCAGAAGCAGGGATGCGCGGCCGGGCGGCTTTGCGCGTGCGCGAACGACGCCAGTTGCGTCACTCAAGGCGCACAGGCGCGCTATCCCCCGCTTCCGGCACGGCGCTCAGCGGTGGCGGGAGCTGCTTCCGGCTTCCCTAGGAACCGGCCCCGGGCTCTGTGGGTTACTTGCTTTAGGCAGGCTAGTTGTCTGGAGATGTAGGCAGGGTCATTACTTGGTGTGCACGCTGCTTCACCATAGCGTTGCTTGCCATGCTGTGGACCTGAAAATGGTGACCCAGGAGCCCCGCGCCAGGCTCCGCCCACCTCCGCTGTCCCCTCCTCTCCGTCCCCCACCCATTGCCTTGCGGGGTGCGATGTTCTGCGGTCCCACCGCGCATCTCTAGGTCTTGACGGTTCCCACTGATAAACTCTTTGAGAAATGATCTGTTCTGCTCTTTTGGTTACTTAAAAACTTGATTTTTAAACATATTTTGTAAGATATAAAGAAATATTTAGTCCTATTCCTTTTCCCAGCAGCTGATTTTCCACTGTATCAGTTCGGTGTTTATTCTTTAAATCCTCTCCCTTTGGACTTTTCATGGAACGTGTCTGTACTTGTGAAGAAAGTACTATTTGGGTCTCGTTTATCTTTCTTCGCGTTTTATGTAACTGAAAGATAAATGCTTCGGGAGTGTGAAGCTTTCACACTGTAAGATAAAAGCTTCGGGAGTGTGAAGATTGAGTTTGCTTTTGGTTTTTCATTTGTGTAAATATACTGTATTCGACCTAACCAAGGACAGTTTTGATTATTATGAACCATGAATAAATGAACATCTGCATGTTTCTGTATTTTTCTAGAATACTTAGGAGTGGAAACGTAGAATTGTAGGTTTTACATATTTTAGCTTAATAAATATTGTCCAGTTGCTCTCCAAAGTTACTGTAGAAGTTTTAGCTGTAGTGGGTGCTTGAAGGTACCCTCACTGCATGTGATTTTATTGAATTCTAGCAACCATATCAATCAATGACATCTTATTTTCCATAGCGTTAGTTTCTTGAAAGATTATCTTTCAGTATGTCTAACATTAGTATTTCTTTTGTGAATTAACTGATCTTATGATGAGTGTTTTGTTACTGATTTTGAAGTATTCTTTATAATCCCATGCACATTTTACAAATACATTCTCCCTGCGTGGTGTTTATCTTAAGTGTTGTCATCTGAAAGTTTTAAAGTTATTTTTTATTTAATCATATTTAAGGTTTTTTTCTGTATGTCACTTTGTTAAGACCGATTTTTCTACTTCAGTGTGTCTTGATATCTGATAAGGAAAACCTTGTCTTTAAAAATTGTCATAGCTCTTTTTTTTTTTTGGTCTTTCTTCATTTTTATCGGTACCAGGGATCGAACTCACGACTGCCTGCTTGCAAGGCAGGCGCTTATGCCGCTGAGCTAAATCCCCAGCCCCGCCATATCTTTTTTTACACTTACATTTAAACCTGAATTTTAGAATTAGTTTAATGTATCTGATAAAGGAAATCTTGTCTGCTTGTTCTTTTAAAAAATTACTATTGAAGTTTTTGTACATTTAGTTTTGTACATTTAGTTAGTACATTAATTTTAGAATCAGTTTGAAAAGTTCCATGAATGGTATTTGTAACATTTTTATTAGAAGTACATGGAATTTATAGATTAAGAGGAGAGAATTGACATTTTTATAGTATTTTCTCATCCTTAAGGTGATATATATCTTTCCACTTATAGGTCTTATTTATATCCTTCATTGAAGTTTTCTAAAAAAGGTTTGCCTTGTTTTTATTTTCATACTTAGGTATATTCTTAACAAATGCTCCCCATAAAGAGTCTGATTGGCTATTGTTGACATATAAGAATGACATTCATCTTTGTATATTGATTTTGTTTTACTGAAATATGAAGATAGAAAATGCATAAATGTATGAATAGCTGAATTATCACAAAATGAACATATTTGGGTCCACTGCCCTCATCAAGAAGTATAATTTGCAGCATCCCAGAAAGCCTCTTCTTCCTGTGCTCCAGAAGTAACCACTAGCCTGATTTCAAACACAGTGAAATAGTTTTTGCCAGATTTTGAATGTAAATAAATAAAACGATGCAGAACATACCTATTGTGTTTGGCTTTTTTTGCTCGACAAAACATGGTGTTGCTGTGTGGTACCCCACTGTTGGGATATCACAGTGATCGTAAATGGGATGGTTTCCTGCTTCGGGCTGTTACGAACAGGGTAATTGCCGTCTATCTTGTCTTTTGTTGCACATACTGAGCTCTGTTGGATATGCATGGAGGAATAGAATCACTTAGTCATCTTATGTATGCAGCTTTAGTAGATTCCACCACAAAGTTATGAAAACAAGACTAATTAATAGGTGCATGCTTGTTAATTAACCCTTATTAAAACAGTATGAAAAATAATTTCTGCAAACCACATTACACTGTGGTTTCCAAATAAGTAAATGAGACTCTCCCATAAAAGAGACAATCTTCTTGGCTCCATAATTCCATTCAATTTTCTGGTCTTCTAGAAATATAAATGTTAGTGACTTAGAATATTTGGTGGTGAATCCCTTAAAAATACACATAAAGAGAAAAATAAATATATAAGGGGGAAATCTTTTGGTTAAAGCAGTGGAACAAATGTTACCACCACAGTTTTTTCTGTTTTTAACTCTCAGCTTTGACTTTCTCCGGGGAGAAAGGCTTTAATTGCAGCAAAAGATGATCCCCAGAAACTTGGGGCTCCCATAGGCCTTGGCAGCCTAAAGAAATGCCTTCTCTCCTGTCATCCATCTGGGTTCCTCCCTCACACCCTCTTCATTGGCTCTTCTGTAGCCAGGCAGATGGTGTTTTCTGATTGGCTGAACTTACAAGGTGGGAGGGGCAGCGAGATAGGCCTGCAAACCCTCCTGAACTTTAGGTTTTAAATGAGATGAAAGGTTCCGGGAAAAAAGGAAAACAAAAGGGACTATTACAGAATGTGGGTGGGTGGTTCCCAAAGTAAGCAAATGTAGGTCCGTTACTGTTAGTCTGTGTACTACAGGGCTCCTACCTGATGGCATCGTGCATGTTTGATTTGTTTTCTGTGTTTCAGATAATTGCAAGTCATCATATGCAATCTATTTCCTTTGCTTCTGGCGGGGATCCTGTAAGTATGCATTCCTAAGAGTTCTTTGTGTAAGAGCTAAAAGGACTGAATGTAAAACTATTTGGATTAGTAGAGGAGTCAACAGTATTGCACTAAGCTTCTTACTGATGATGAATGTCCAGGTCACCAGAAGCAAGACCATCTGTGTGCTGGTGGCAGCAGTCCTCGAATCCTCAGCACAGACGCCACTGGTTAATTGGACTTGGTGGCGTCAACTTGTCATCGAACCCTGTCAGCCAAGGCACCTCTGCTTAATCTAGAAGGAGCTGCGGAGAGGGAACTTGGGGTTCCTCTCTACCAAGAGGCTGTGTGATGCTGTGGAGGTCCCTGTTGCCTGCTCTGCAGATCGGATGTCACTCCTTGACTCCATACTACAGTGCTGGACCCACGGAATTGTGTCAGAGAGGGGCAGTCATGCTAGGGAGCCTGTGGCTGAAGAAAGAAATCTATTTCTTTAGTTTTTGGTATCAGGATTCCAACTCACTTGCCTGGTAGGCACTGTGCCCACTGAGCTACATTACCAGCTCAGTCTGTCTAAACCAAGGGACAAGAAGGATGATTTTTCTCACCTGTGACATTACAGGCCATTTGCTTGTACCTGTAGACACATGGAAGTCTAGGGCAGGGCAGAGTGTGACTTTCACAATGGTTGAACGTCAGTAATGTCAGGAGACATATGGAGAATGTGTGCAGACCTTATTTTATACAGAATGTATTATCTTTGTCTCTGCAAAATACTATTCACCGTCATACCCTTCAGAAATGAACTACCACACCCAGTTTAATAACTGATCTTTTTCTTTCCACTGTGTTCAGTTTCTCACTTATTATTGATGAGTAAAATTTAAAGTCATAAATGATGAGACACATAACAGAGAAGCCTAAACCATGCATGAAGGGTAGGAAAAAAAAATCCTTAAATCTGGCATTTGATTTAAGGCACTAGAAAGCTTAAAGTTATTTTAAACTATATGTGAAATATTTAAAATGAAAAAAAAAATAACTGTGTCCCAGAGGGAAATAAATTTCCAAAGTTATCCTAGGTAATCACTGCTTCTATGCTGGCTTCTGAAAAACTGGAACAAATTCTTTCACTTGCCTGTTAATGTGTCTTTTTTGTGTGTAAATATATAGCTAAGTGCCACTTAAATTAGACCAGTGTTAAAAGCACTTCGGAGATCACTTGTTTTCATTTTGGCTGCCAGGGTCTCAGAGTATTCAAACCTGTCAACCCAGGACAATCTGCCTGTGGAATTTCTTTCTGAACTGTGAGAAAAAAAAGCCTTTACAAGATTTCAGATCTTTGTTTTTACTTATTTGCTTGCTTATATGGGATGCTGTGTTTTCCCTTAAGGGTTCTCCGCTCCTCACCATTCTGCCGTGAATGCAGTTATTTTCCAAGGACTATCTTAGTTCCTTGATGTCACCAAATAAAAGTAAACCAAATTGTGAGGAGCATTCCTTTTAAACCCCAGAATCCACAGATGATGATTGTGGGTCAGGTCTGATCCACCCAGCCTTCCCTCCAGCCTCAATGGAGACACCAAGGCTGGGCATCAGGGAGGGTCTGGGGGTGCAAGCTGAAGAACACCAACATTGCTTTCCTCCTCCTGAGCCATTATAGCTCGGTCATCTGTGAAGGAGCTCAGCAGACTTTTCTAAGAGACCTAGAGTAATGCTCTGTAAGTGTAGTTTGAAAAATCATGGTGTTTGCGTCAGTTTCCAGGGTTGCTGTCCTTTTGGAACTTGCGCACAAATATTTACTCTAAGCACGTCCTGAATGGTTTGTGATAACGTTCTCCAGAGCCCTAATGCTCTTCCCGCTCTTCAGGAACCTTCAGTGCTTTAGTTCTTGCAGTTCACCCAAACACTTGAGCTACCAGACACAGACGGTACGGAATCTGTACCATTGTGGGAAAATTTTTATTTGCGGGGCTTGAGTGGAACCTCTGGGTTCTCTACCTCTGGAGGGAAAGCCTACTGATTCCCATTAAAATAGTAATCTGGGTCCATCCCAAGCCTTGGCGTCAGATCCCCTATCTCTCTCACACACACACACACACACACACACACACACACACATGCTCGCTGTGAAGTCTTACCTCTGGTGGGGAGACAGATCTGCATACTGCCCGGTGCTGGGCTCAGGTCCACCTCACTTATTGCACCTCTCTGACGTTCACTGTCCCCGTCTGCGGGAGCAAGACCATGTGTGTGCAGTGTTTGTGCAAGGCCGGGCCCATAGTCACAAAGGTGACTGTCACCAGCAGGCCTCCATGTTCACTTAGGAGCCGCCCTGAGGTTGTTTACAGCCTCACAGATACCGGGGCATGGCTCAGGCAGGAGGCTGAGTTAGTCACGGTCCTGCGGCCCAGATGGCCTCCCACTTGCCTAGGTGCTCAGGGTAGCTCCTTACCTGTGGCCTCTGCTCACCTGCACCTTTACTCTCTGCTCATTAACAGTTTGTTTTCCTTCTGTTGGCCTGGAAGACAGCCTGGGAAGGCTTGTGTCACTCTGACTACTTCTCTAGTTCAAAAACGCAAAATTTGCAAGCACGTCGAATATTAAGTACATCATAAACTCTTTCCATCTGCTATTTCTCCCAGCCGCAGAATTGTAAAGCTGGTAGGGTGGTGGTGACTGCTTTAAGGACTAGGACACCGAGCTCCAAAGAGGGCCCTCAGCCGCTTTCCTGCCCAGCACCCAATTACTGTCCTCAGGCCGCCTGCACCATTCTTAAGAGTCCACAAGTCAGCAGCAGTTGTGGCCTCCTCGCTTCTAAGCTCATAAACTCATCCTTATTTATTGAGAAAATTCCCAAGTTCCTTTTTGTATAAGAAATTTACTCAGGTGTGCATTATTTTTAAAGAAAACCTGAGACCAGTGTAATCAGAAAGCTCCGGCTTCCTGTGCAATTCCCCTCGGGTTATTAAGCGGAGCTCCTGAGGGCCTTACAGGGCCAGGCTTCTGTTCCCTGCCTGTTGATGGCGTCTTCCCTCTCTAGAGTCCTCTTTCCAATCTAAAAGTGGCGTGTTTTTTTTTGTTTTGCTTTGTTGTGTTTTTTTTTTTTTTTTTTTGAGAACTGAGATAACAAAAAGTATCTTGAATTATTAAAACCTTACAATTCATCAACTTACTGTTTTCAGTAAAAGCTGGAATTACCAACCAGGTTCTGTTTGTTTAACAAGGCCACAGCAGATCTCTTTTTGAACTGCTTGTTTTTCATGAGTCCTCTTTTAAAAAAAAAAAAAAAAAAAAAAACAACGATTTTTTCTCTATATTGATCAAATAAATGCATTGTGTTTTGCCTTATTATTCCTTAAGTTACCTGGTGCTGCACACAGACATGCAAGTGAACAACCTTGGAGCCCACCAATTCCCGTATTCGGCTTACTTTCTACATGGTGTCTGTTTGGACAGTAAACGTCATCACGGCGCATCCTAACTTAAGGCTGCTTGGTGACTGTGTAATCCCCAATACTTCAATTTCCGACATTCTAGATACACAGTGTACCACTGAGCTACATCCCAGCGCCCCCTCCAGTTTTTCGTGTGGTACAGTGATACCTCGGTTCACCAACTCAGTTCTCTGTGCGATTCCAAGTTGCAAACCATAGTGGACAAATACCAAGTAAAACTTCCCAGTCAGGTCAACACTGAACCTAACCATTGAGCTTGATTTGATTTCTTGTCCAAGAATCAGGTCTGTGAACTGAGGTGCCACGTGCTGTGGATTGAAACCAGGTACCCCCACACCCGGGCAAGTGAGCTACCTCTGAGCTGTCTCCCCGGCCCTGCTTCTGCACTGTTAATGTTAAAGTTTATTTCCCCACAGGGCAGAGAATATGAAAGCTACCATTGTTAAACTGCGTAGTATCAACTGTGCTCTTCCTCAGAGCTTTTCTCTTTAAGCAGAAATACTCATAGTTAAGTCCTTGCTTCAGGATCATGTTCTAAATATATTCCAGTACAGTTCATTCATTTTAAATGCAATCCTTTTCCCTTTTTTTTTTTTTTAAATAGGATACTACAGACTATGTTGCCTACGTAGCTAAAGATCCAGTTAATCAACGAGGTACGGAAAACAGCTTCTAGAATTTCTTAAGAGCTGTGGTATGCCAACTTTAAAATATACTAAGCATTTATTTTTAATACAGAGTCATGAAGTGTCACTAGAGTGCTAGAATGGATTCTAAAAACGCTGTGTAAATGTCACTTAGAAATAAATAGCTCTGCCAGCTCAGCAAAGTAGAAGAAAATGTAGAGGTGGGATTTAAATCCTGGCCATTTGAGGGACCAAATTGTCATCTAAAAGGCTCATGTCTTTGTGTGCTTGCAAGAGAGGGTGCTCATAAGAGCCAGGGTGGCAGCCATGTCTCCAGCGGACAAATGAATTGCACATCAGGCCCAACCCAGTGAGGTTATCTGTGTGGGATGGCCTCGTGTGTGTGTGTGTGTGTGTGTGTGTGTGTGTGTGCATGTGCACACGCACACACGTCCATGCACATGTGTGTTGAATCTGCATACTTGATGTTCAAGGGCCCTAAATGTCACTTTTGAGTGTTCAGCTTCTGTCTGCCGGATCTCCCTGTAAGTGTCTCTTCCTCTGACGACCCTTTGTATCTCCTGTCTCCATTAGCCTGCCCCACCCTGCTGCATCACAACGCTTACTTCTCCTCTTGTGAACCTCACATTCTATTGTTTTACATGTTCGCCCTCCTGCTCATTTTGTGTGCTGATATGATTGGTGCACCTTTTCTACTGGGCTAAAATCTCAACCCAGCCCCAAACATAACCTATTTCTCTTACCGTTGTTTCCCGAGCACTCATCTCAATGCCTAGCACCAAGGTGGTGCACAGAAGCGGTTTTGTTTTATTGAATGGAATTACTGCTTACAGCCCTCATCCTGGGACTTGGCAAGGTTGTTTAAGACACCCCTGCCCAGCCGTGTTCCTAGTCACTGCCTGAAGTTTTTCAGATGGTTGGGTCTCTCTGGACAGACTTGGTTAGTATTGCTTCTCATCTGCAGCTCTGGAACATTCAGGCTGGTCTCAGGGAGCAGAACACGGGCCAGTTCTCCTCCTTAACTGGCCCTGTTAGTTGGTAACCTCTATCACCTCAGGGATGGAGTTTGCCCCCAAACATTTATTATGTGGACGTGGCCTGGGACGTGATGTTGAAAGAGCCAAAGTCACAGAGCTGGAAGCACACAGGGACACTGAGAAGCAAAGGACTAGAGTGCACTGAAGTGCAGAATGTATGAACAGGAGGCAAGTGGGTCTGAAGGGCATCCAGAGGGCAGACAGGAAGGAGCAGTAAGTAGGGACTGATCCTGCCAGCGGATGGGTGGAGAGAGCTGTTTACAAAGCAGAGCTTTCAGAGCATGTGGACCTGGTAGGCGGAAAGGAACAGGCAGATCAAAACCACCGCCAGAGTCTGCACCACAGCCAGGTCACTCTACGCTGAGTAACAAAGAGTGGGCAGTGGTCAGGGAGTAGCGGGAGGGACAGGAACCAGCACAGGAGCAACTGGGACAGTGCCGGGCACATTGCAGCAGAGAGCGGCTTCTCAGGGTCCCACTGGACTTGCTGGGTTTGAGAAACCCTCAGAATGGCGAAGGATGCAGTGGAAAGAAGAAAAAAATGCACCAGGAAGTCTAGATAGGGGCGACCCTGGCATCATCACTGAACATCTCGGGACATCTCACTGCCCTCAGGTTCACAGTGGCGAGGCAGGGTTAGAGATCAAAACTGGCTGCTTGGGAAGGACCCATGTGTTTGCAAATCTCCCTCCTCACTTGAGCGAAAGAGGCAAGAGGAAACACTGTCCATGCTGGAGACAGAAAACCTGGGTTGGAATAATAATTTCTGCACCACCTCACTGCTCACTGTCACCATCCAGCTGATCACTTCCATCTGCCAACCTCGACTTCTTTGTCCTGTAAACAGGAGTGAGGACACCCTGGCAGTCCCAGTACTGCTGGGCTGAATAACCGAGCTGACATACGGAAAGCATCATTTTCTTTCCTCCTTTGTTTCTTCTCCCTTGCTTTAAGAAAACGGGTCTCTCTGACGAGATAGACAATTAGATCTGTAGGATAATTTTCTTGGATTTTAAAGTCAGTTTTCTCCCCATCATGCATCCCTCTTTTTCTGGTGCTTTTGTTACCACCCATTCATTTTGTTTTAGGAATCCCTGTGCAAAGCTGCTGTGTTCTCAGCATGCCCCCTGCCTGCACGGTCCACTGGTGTTAAATCCCCCCGCCCACCGGCTGAGCCCCTGGACTCCTAAGCCCTGCAAGGAGGCTTCTGAGGCCACAGATAATTAATGATCCCATCCTAACATGCAAGGTTGAGCTGGTCCTTATGGGAGAGAAATAATTCTGCCACCACACACATTATTTAATGAAAGAGGTAAATCCAGCCGATAAGACATCCATGGAGAAGGAGAGGGAACAAATGAACAGCAGGTTGGACGAGATAGACTCTCAGTCAGGATCTGTGGAAAGGATGGATAGAGGCTGGGGAGAGAGAGCCCCAGCCCATGCGTGCATGGTGTGAGCGTGCATGGTGTGAGCGTGCATGGTGTGAGTGTGCATGTAGAGCTGGGACTGCAGAAGAAGAAAAGAACAGGCGTAGGCAGCCAGAGGGGTATGGAGGGCGTCGCAGGCCAGCCAGCAGGGCAACGGGCACCACCGATGATTTTGAAGCTTATGAAATTGATTGTAGCTTCTGTCATCCTACGAATATTGTACTATGATCATCTTTCTGGCACCTGTGTCTGAAAAGCAATCTGGAATAACAGAGTTCAACCCAGAGAACCTTGTGCTGGGCCAAGGTGGGAATGTTCTAAATGGCCTTGGAGGAGGAAGAGACCGTGTGAGCCACGTTTGGGGACTGATGGTGTTTGATGGCTACTTAGACCTGAGGACAGGTGAGGAAGTGGAATCAAGCCAGATAGAGGTGGCACACATCCATCATCCCCTCACTCTGGAGGCTGAGATAGAAGGATCACAGGTTCAAGCCCAGTCCGGATGACTCAGTGATTTAGCAAGATCTTATCTGAAGAGAAATGAAAATTGGCTTGGGAACAGACAGCAGATACCTTCATAGGAAATACGCAGTGGACAGCGTCTGTTACTGCTGTTAGCAGAACTGTTCTTCGTGACTGTGGAGTGTGTTGCCAGTGAAGACGCAGAGATTCTTAACAGTAGGAAAAAACAAGAATGTGATAGAAAGGACAAAGAGAAAACAGCTGCCAGTTGTCATGCATGAGCCATATCCTGGGCCTTGTGAGAAGCACCCAGCCACATGTACTCAGTCATCCTCACAGCAAGCCTTCGAGGTGGAGAGCGATAGGATTCCTTCGTTACAGACCGGATGTCACCGGCCAATGAGTGGATGCTTTACAGAAAGACTTTCTAAGGGCCTGAGAAACTAGAAAAATCAAAGGCTTAGCCTTACCAGCAATCAGGACACACAGGTTATAATCAGACATCATATTTTATCTCCAGATTCCAAACATTACAAGTTCAGTGCTGGTACTGGTACAAAAAAAAAAAAAAAAAAAAAAAAGAAAAAGAAAAGTAAGAAGGACAGGTTCCAAACATTAAAAAATGGTGAGATGTGGTTTAGAGTAGTACTTTTTTTTTTTTTTTTGGTCTTTTTCGTTTTTATCGGTACCAGGGATAGAACTCACGACTGCCTGCTTGCAAGGCAGGTGCTTACGCCGCTGAGCTAAACCCCCAGCCCCGAGTAGTACTTTTTGAACACTGCTGATTAGAACATAGATTAAGAGATTTCACAGAGCAAGCTAACAATTTGCATCAAAGTCTTTAAAATGTAAGCATAGGGCGGGGATTTAGCTCAGTGGTACAGCACCTGTCTGGCAGGTGCAAGGTGCTGACTTCAATTCCTGGTACACAAAAAAATGTAAACACTTTTTAAACTGGCAATCTCTCTTCTGAGGCAGCATTAGAGTACACACAAAGATTAAACAATACAGATTGTCACTTGTTCATCTAATAAGACAAGTAGAATTAATTCCATATCCATAACAAGAAAATCGTGTAAGAGAACCTATAGTTGTATTACTCTTCAGCATAGTAAGACTAGTTTAGAAAAATAAGTGCTAGTCGAGAAGAAAATGTTTACAACCCTATTAAAGTACAAAAAGCAGGACATGGAACAATACATATATAGTAGGACTGTAGGATAATTTTGCATGATAGCTGGGTATAGATACACGAATAGAAAAACACACGCCAAATTGTTAACAGTAGTTGTCTGTGGACAATGAGATTTCATGTCACTTTTTGCTCTTTAATGCCTTTTTATTTTCTAAAAGTCTTGCAATGAATAATTATTCTATTTAAGGAAAAAAATGTTCTGAATTCTTGAGTAAAAATGATGACGCCCAGAAGGTGATGTTACACAGCCTTGGGGAGGTCTTGAGGGAAAGGAAAGAGAAGGAGCAGGATCCCAGGGAGAGAGAAAATTGAAGGAGGCCCGATGAAAGAGGCAGGGCATAGGACAGTCACGCCCTGGGAAGGGAGCACAGACCCTGGTCAACAGACCGGCTCACCCTAGGAGGCTGACGCTCGTGCACCAGCAGAGGGGAGGAGGCCAACGCCAAGGGGAGCTGGGTGGAGTGTCTGCGTGCCATGACCCTGGATGTCCCCCTGTCCCTCGTCTGCTGGACTCCTTTGTTGCATTAATGCCTTCCAAGCAAAGCAGCTGTCACTTTCTTCCTTCATGGCTCGGAGCCTAGCCCCGAAGGCTTCTAGGGTAGGAAAGGCAAGTCTGAGTAAGAATGTTTGGGTTTGCTCAGTGACCATCACCACCTTCCCCTGCACATGAAGAAATACACGACTGCCTCGCTTCTTCAGGTGCGAGGCAGGTTTTAATATTTTCTCTCAGTTTAGTCTAGAAAGAGGCCCCAGCTTCCCCGAGCTATCTAGATATAGAAAGCCATGGTTCTGAGTCTCCCAAGAAAGCTTTAAAAACCCCGAAGACTGGTTTAAGGAGCCATCCATCAGTACTGATGTTTAGGGTTACAAACCAGGGACAGGTAACTGTGGTTCTCCGGCCACCACTCTGCCTCTGCTCCGTCTACAGCGTGGATGCCTCGGTTCAGTACCTCAGTGCCATCTGCTGGCTGACCTGAGAAGCTGACCATTTGAATTCAGTTCTAATAATAAGAACCAAAAATTGGCCTTTTGGAAACAAATGAAACTCGCAACAAGGACCATTACCTCTAAGAATAATTCTCATCCTCTCATCCATGAACACCCAGCTAGGAGCCCAAAGGAAAATGAAACAGACAGACTGAATCAAGGGTTCTCTTAAACACTGCTTCAGGTAACAGCTGGTCCCAGAGGCAGCTCCAAGGGTAAAATGCACCCAGATAGTCAGGGAGGGCAAAGCTTACACCCCCTTGGCAAAGTGACCGGGTCACTGAAATCATGTGGTTTTCGTGGGGTACTTGGGACTTGTTAGATACTTTTCTTCTTTTCAGCTGGAGATCAGGAATTCCTGAGTTCTTAGAGATACTGGGAAGTGACTTACTGTACAGAGTGATCAGAATGCGTGGTTTATGTTTAAATTCTTAAAGTTTTAATGGACACATGGCCATGAAGCGCCCCCACGCAGTACTCGCCCTTGGCCGGATACACCCCGTCACTTCAGCCACTCTCTGAAGCACTGCTGGAGTCATCTTCCATGAGTGACTTTTAAGGTGTGATGAGACAGCCTGGTGACTGTGGAGAGGCCCATCCACGGAAAGACAGGCTCCTAAAAGTGTCCGGGTGCGTTCTTCCCCTCAATCACCAGGCTGGCACCGTGTGACTTCCGGCTCCTCCTTGAAGTTGGAATACCCAAGAGAGGAGAACATTGGAATCCGTTCAGGTGGCGAGGCAGCCAGGGCAGCGCAACTAGAGAGCCCTCACGAAAGAGGAGCCCAGACCGTGGCGAGGGTGATGGCCGGAGTGCGTCCACAGGGAGGAGCAGGGTTTTGAGGAGGACTCATGGCAATGCACCTTTTACTGTAATTAATTGGGAAAGCTCTAAGTAGTCATTCGTTTTTCACTCACGCCTTGTGTGTGATTTTGTGAGGTCTTTCGCCCTACCAAAGACCATTTTCACAGATCAGCGTGGCTGCGAGTGGCATCTAAGGCACCGTTCAAGTCCAAGTCTTCCCTGCAGGTGAGGAAACAGGGAAATCTGTCCCGGGACAACTGTCTGTCCAGTGTCCCCTCTTTCACAGGGGGACATAGGCACCACTGCTTTTTTTCCTGTGTTCTTTCTGTTCAGTCTTCTCGCAAAGCGATGTGTCAGTAACAGAGGTGTGCAAAGCGAAACGGAAAACTGTGCCGGTAGAATCAGCCTTCAGATAGGCAGGACCAGAGTCAGAGAATCAGAATCAGAATCAGAGAAGCTGAGTGCCTGGAACATTTGGAAGTGTGACAGAAGTGACAGAGGATGGAGGGCATGTTTTGTTGATCCATGCATCCTGGGGGCCACGTGTCTCATCCTGTTTCTCAGAGGATCGCAGCTGCTGAGATGGAAAAAGTCTGGGGTCTCCATAAAGCAAAGGGGCCTCACCGGTAACCCATGTGTCATCTTGGCTGTGGAGTGTCTCCCCGGGGCCACACAGAGGGTGACGCTGTTGCAGCTTGAACTCAGCTCTGGATCTTTGCATGGAGTTCTTTTGAACATCCACATTCTCCTATCTCTTGCAGTAGAAGTGAAGTTTGCTTTTTCTTACTTTTTCCTTCACGTTTGGATCTCCTGCCTCTCTCACTCAAGGTCTCCCACATCTTGATGTCTCAACATCTTCTTAACCCTAAGAAAAAATGAAATCACCTGGATTGTGTCTGTTTTGGTAGGATTTCTGGCTTTGATTTGATTTTTAATTGGGCAACTAGTATGTGAGATGACAAAGAGATCCAAGTGAATAACCTCTCTGGATAAGCTAACAGGACTTCTCCTGCTTCAGTTAGAGGGTACATTTCCACGCAGCTTTTGCAGGTCTCAGTATGAAGCCACACCTGAAGGAAAGACTCTATTTCCATAAATGACTCAAAACAATCATTTGTCACTCAGTGGCTATAAGAAGGCAATTTTTTTAAAACAGAAATACTGATGTGACTCAGGGAAACATATTAATTTAACACATATTTTAAAAGTACTGTAGGTAGGTTTGTCACTATGAAAAGCTACTATAGCAAAAAATATAGGGAAAATATAAAATGACAGTCTAAAGATAGGACCAAAAAAAATTTTTTTTTGCCAGAAGGATGTATATTTGCAGTATTCTTAATTAGATTTTCAAAACTAGAATTAGCTCTAAGTCTGTTTCAAGATACAAGTGCTCATCCCTTTGAAAAGTATTGAGACATAAATCTTTTTTAAAAAGGTTGTCTTACTTCTGAAATAAGAATATCTGAGACCCTTTGAGATGACTGTAACATAAGCCTGTGAAACATGATTACAGGGGGGCTGGGGATTTAGCTCAGCGGCATAAGCACCTGCCTTGCAAGCAGGCGGTCGTGAGTTCGATCCCTGGTACCGATAAAAACTGAAAAAGACCAAAAAAAAAAAAAAAAAAAAAAAAAAAAAAGAAACATGATTACAGGTTCCACTACAACATCCTCTTGACCAGCTCCACAAATTCTATCAGTTGCAAATAGATCGTCCTTTCCTTAAATAAATACAATATCCTGCCTAAGACAATGCAAAGCATAAAATCATGCTTCCATGGTAACAACGTTAAACCATCCCTGAAAGGCAGCAAGCTTGCCTTCCCTTGGATTTCCTTTTTAGTAATCTGTTCCACTGTTTGTTTTGAAGTGACAAGATCCAAGATGCTTTCCCTGGTATTTAATTTCCTCTGCACTCCTTTAAGCTCATCATCTGCTTTCTCTTCACTCTTCTGAAAGTACAGCTGAAAAAGTTTCACAGCAATTCTTATTTCTAAAGAACCATTACCAAGCTTTTCCCCACCCCTCAATTCTTCGGCTGCATAAGGGTTCTTTCAAAAACTTTTCTTCTATGACTTTTTGCCTCTATCTTTATGTCATTTTTAGGACTCTTTCTAAGGTCATGAAATTTCAGTCAGTTAAACCTTTTGATTACAAGGCCCTCAGTGTACACCATCCCCTATAAACTTAAGAGCGATGTTACGAGAGGAGAGATGAAACACAAGCTCTTCTTTTTACATAGCAGCAGACTGTCCACCTCATGTGATTATGAGATTCTGTTGGCTGCCCCTACCATCTGTTTATTTTATCTATGAAAAGTAGCTTCTTTCTAATAGCTGCTTCTCAGAGAAGAATGTAATGAAAACTTAAGCATCTTCACCAAATGGATACTGGAGATGGTGCTTTAGTGGGATTTCAAAGCTGGGGACACCATACTTATCACTGGCGGTCAATATGGGGCAAGAGGAAGGTGTATCCCCAAATCCCTTTCTTCACCAGTCCCTCGTTCTTCATTCCGCGCACAGGCTTGGAAAGTTCTCTTGCTTCAGTCTTGTGCAATGTACATTGCAAAGATGAGACCTCAAGCCATCTGCCCGTCAGACCTCGGCCCTCAGGTCTCCTGCGTGGAATTCCAGAGGGACCACGTAGCTATTAATTCGCCATCAGCCAGGCCACGTTTGCAGAAAATGGACTTTGCCTGAAGACCGACATTTGTGTTTGGAGGTATTTAGGTGCCAGTTAGGAATGTGTTTTTCTCGTTGGTTCACGTGCAAAATGAGGTCATCTTTATATCATTTCAAAACTCAGCAGAGTTCATCAACTTGCTTCCTTTAGTCAGATTTGGAAGCGCTGTGACTTGGCACAGGCTTCTCTTGCTGACACTGTGTGGCATTCTTTGTGCATCTCTCACAGCGTGCCACATACTGGAGTGTCACAGTGGGACAGCCCAGGATGTCATCGGTACCATCGGGCAGGCGTTCGAACTTCGATTCAGACAGTACTTGACAAATCCGTCTCTGAATGTGTCTTGTGAAAGGTCAGTCAAGCGTTTGATAATTACTTGACTTGCGATTTCTATATGTATCTTTAAATTACTATGTTTTAAAATAGACCGATGTAATGAGCAATTTTTTTTTTACCTAATAGGTACAGCTTCAATTCAAAACAATAGTGACATGTACTATTTTTCTTCCATTCCATGTGTGTGTGTCTGTGCATGTATGTGCACATGTGGTACTGGGGATTGAACTCCGGGCCTTCACACTGAGCTGAATCCCCAGCCCTTTTTTATTTTGACGGAGTCATCCAGGCAGGCCTCAAACTTGCAGTCGCCTTGCCTCAGCCTTCCATCCATGTTTGCCCAGGCAGTGCCTCTTGCTTCCTAACAGGATTAAAGGGGACACCAAAAGTGAGCTGAGATCATCCCTGTGTCTCTGGTGTTGACCCAGATTGAGGCACCAAATGTAAGAAACATCTCAGATTGGCTTCAACCACACTTGTTTTGTGTATCAGTAAAAGCAAAAAAGCTAAACCAAAAACACAGAGCAAAGTCAGAAGACTCGAATGTCCCTGGTGGAAACCCCTGCCACTCACTGGTGTTGGGTAGACCTGGGGGCTTGGCGAGCAGGGTGACCTAGCCACTCAGGGGTCTAAGCACAGAAAGTCCACAATGAAAGGGGCCCCTGCTGGCTGCTCATCCCCACCACTGGGCTCCAGCGAGGCCTGCAGCTTGCACAGTTCACCCCGGAGCAATGAAACTCCTGGGTGCCTTGAAATGCATTTTCCAGCCAGGCGTGGGGACGCACACCTACTATCCCCGCACGTGTGAGGTTGAGGCAGTAGAATCGCTGTAAGTTGGAGGCCAGACCCTGTTTCCCTAAGTAGTCCTCTTGTGTGGCCCTGAGACCTCCCTCAGGAGGTGGTCTCGGTAGGAAGGGGGAGGGAGCTACTTGCATTGGTCATGCGGAGGTTCCCCCAGGACACCTGCCCCTTGGTACCATCTTTGTGTTTTTTTGTCATGAGCCCAACAGAACACGTAAGCTTATTCCAAAATGCTTCGATTTATTCTTTTTATGAGAAACATGTATTACTCTTTAATTTGGAAGAAAGGTTCATTTATTTTTTTTAAACCCTGTTTCAATTTTCAAACCCATTGTGTGTTTATGAAAATCTCCCCACATCTGGCAGTAGGCAGAGCAGGTAGCTGGTCACCACTCTCTCTCAGTTTAATAAACTGGGCCAGGACCCCTACTCAAAGCACAATGTGTCAGTTTTCTTTGGGTAAAACATTTCCTAAATGTGACCACTGAAGAGATGCCCAGGAAGATTTTGCTTTTTTATGATCATGTGACAAGAACTCCTTGCATTCAGGGAATTTGTCATCTCCATCATCATCGTCGTTGTCACTGGGGCGCCACAGAGGACAGCTCTGTGGCCCTACTCTCCTCTGCCTCCATAAATCTAAACCATGCCATGGCTACTTCCGCCCAGATGTTTGCTGTCACTTGAGCTCAGCTGTGAACCTAATACGCGAATGCAGGGTTTTCCAGGGTGATCCAATCACTACCGATCCCTTAGAGGCACCTGAACCCTGCCTGTCTCTCAGGGATTCTCTTTCTCCTCGCAGTGAGGAGGTGCAGATCGACGGCCACACTCCGGAGGGAGAAGATCACGAATATTACAATGAGGTCCCAGGCAAGCAGCCACCTGCCGGCGGGGTGTCTGATGTCCGAGTCAGAGTGCAATCCCCAGAGCGGATGGCCTACTGCCCCATTCGCTGTGAAAAGCTGTGCTATTTAGTAAGTAAGGTCCTGCTGTTGGGAAGCGGCAGTGGGATCCCCCTCACCCCCATCTCCAAAGGCTGGGCTTGTGGATGCCCCACCTGCAGCCACCTTACATGCGTGGCCAGAGGGTGCAGCCTGGCCAGAGTCTGCCAGTGGACGACTCAGAGCTCACCTTCCTGGACCGAGGAGGGTGACCCCATACCTTCCCCTTGGCCCCCCACTTCCCAGCCCCACCTTCTGCCTGCTGTCTTCCCCTCCCACCACCTCTGTGTCCTCTGATGTCCCTTCACTTCTGCCCGGGACTCACCCTCTGTTGACTGCACATCATCGTGGACCCCTGCGGCCCCGATTACCGTGCCTGCCTCCCCTCCTGTTCCTTTCACTCACAGACTTCAGGAGCCTGGGTCTTTGCTTTCATGGCTACGCTGTACTATTTTTTTGCCCTATACTTTTGGGATCTGCACTCTGCTTGACAGCTCGATAGAAATTGCTTTCACTGTGGCTAGCAGTTGTTGGGTTGCTAAATCTTTCCCTGCTTGAAAAGCCCACATTGCACCATTTGACATCCGTTGGCTGCCTTTTTAAACTGAGATCTCGTCTGTCAGCAGGCAAAGCATTTTCATCTTGTCACTGTCTCCCCAAATCTCTAGTTATTGCTCTTTTTTCTTTTACTCTACCCCTCTTCCTTTTTTCTTCTTTTTCTCTCTTTTGTGCTCTCTCTCTCTTCCTCCAACATTTCATGAATGTTTTCACAGGTGCAGAACAGTTGAATTTTGCAACAAACCCTCACATTCTCCCCCTCTAGATTCTAAAGTAACATTTTATTCTATTTCCCTATCACATATGTTGCCGTTTGTCATCTGTCAATCCATCTTACAGGAAGCTGTGAAATATTTTCACAGCCTTTTCTTTTTATATCCTCATCTGCTCCTCCACCTCCTCCCTGATAACCCACACCCGCCCCAGTGCTCTGCCTGGACCCGTCTCGTCCCTGCTGCACCCACACCCCTGCCTCTGCCGCTGCAGCCTGGGTCTGGCCCTCGGGCTGGCAGCCGCTTATGTACAGCAAGGCTGAGCTCAGCCTTCTCTCCCGGACCCCAGACCCCGTTCCTCTCCTGATGGTTTCCTGGTACCATCAGGAGATGTGGCACAGCCAGGCTTTTGCTAACCCAGGCTCCATTTGGGGGCTTCTGATTAACTCAGCCTTCGAGACCTATGAGTTCACCATGACCATATCATGGGAGTTTACTGAAATGTTTCCATTTCTGCTATGCCTTTCCAAGTTCCAGTCCTTACAAGACCTGAAGATTCTGAATGCCATTTCCGGCATCATGCTCGTCCCTCTAGCCCTGCAGTGCTGATAAAAATGTCCTGAAAATCACTGTCTGGCTGACCCTGTGTGCCCCTACTATGGCTTCCCAAGCAGAAGCAGAACCCTGAGAAAGGAGGACAGGGGCTGTCCTTGTAACCCACACCCGGTCCAGCCACCTCTGCAGCCCCAAAGCAGGACTGGAAGCCTGGAGCCCTCTCCCCGTGCTGTGGCGTTTGAGTTTCTTGTGCCGACAGGAGAGCGAAGCTGTCTTCTCCACCCCGCTGGGAATTCAGTGTTCTCTCAGCGTCTTGAATGTATCCTGTCCTCGTGATTGCCTCACCTTTTGCTTTCCTTGCAGCCTGGGAGCTCCAAGTGCAGCAGTGTGTACGAGAACTGTCTGGAGCAGAGTAGGGCAGCAGGTAGGTGCAGCGCTGTCCCCGTCTGTCACCCTCCCCTGTCTTTTTGGGGCTGTGAATGTGTGTGACCCCGGCTCTTGGACACCTGGGAAAGCTAGAGGTGCAGGGGATGAAACCCAGACTCCTTCCGCTGTGGGCTTTCCCATAGGCTCAGGTCATGGGGGTGTTACTGAGGCACAGCAGAGACTCAGGGCTCTTCCCCACACTGGTGTCCCCTGCCTTGCTATATGGGGTCACGTGCGGTCATCAGCCAGGGCATGGCCAAGAGTGACCCTGGGCCTGGCAGTCTGAGTCACTGCAGCTGGGAAAAGGCTGAGAGGGCAGCTCATCCCCTCCCAGGGAGGCAGGGGGCAGCAAGTTCTGGGTCATGATGAGCAGGGCAGACGCCTTGGATCAGGCCTGCAGAGTCAGCCTGTGCCCTAGTCAGGCCTGGGTGTGGCTGTTCACACCTTGGGGAGGAACATGGAGAATGTCTGTCTTTTTAAAAAACCATGCCAGGCATGGTGGTACATGCCTGCAATCCCAGTACTCGGGAAGCTGAGGTAGGAGGATCGCTGTGAGTTGAGGCCAATCTGGGCTGCACAGTGAGTTCAAGGTCAGCCTGAACTGCATAATGAGACCCTGTCTCAAAAAACTCAAATAAATAAATAAAGCAATATAATAGACCTGGGGTTTAAAGATCCATTTGAACCTCAGTTGTGATGTTGCAGCAAAAGCAGAGCTCGAACGAAAAGCAAAACATTGATGTGTAGCTCAGCCTCCTTCCGTTTGTGAAAGCCAATCACTTAGAAAAGGATTTCTCTAACATGCCACCAAACACCCAAATAATGTGGCGTCCTGTCGAGCCCCTCCCTGTACATGGCCACACACCCTGGACAGGAAGGAGCCACTCCACTGAGAGGCAGCCTGATGGGAGGCAGCCTCCAGCTGGTGGTCTCCAGACTGCTTGGCACTCTTGGGTTCCCACTCTGTGATGTGCAAGAATCATGGCGCCGCTCACCGTGGCGTGACATCCGGTGAGGCCTGTCCTCCCCGGACCAGGTCAGAGGCGCTTGGAGACCTAAGCAGAGAAAGGACCAATGCAGCTTGCAGCAAGGCAGCGGGGTGGCGCTGCGTGGGGGGCGGCCTCTTGGTGTCCTGCAGCACTCGGAGCTGGAAATATCAGTGTTCGAGCCCAGGCATCCCAGGAAGGAGCTGTCTGTCTGGAAGTAGAGTGAGGTGCAGAGATCGAACCTCCAGGGACTGGGGAGATTGTGATGCCAGGTTCTTGGGTTCACACACCTGGCAGCCCTGGTGACGGAGCAGACCACAGTCCTGTGCATGGGACGCACAGCCTGGACACAGGGTTAATCTTGAACAAATCCTCAGGGAAACAAGTGGCCCGGGTCTCTTAGCGTGGATATCCAAGGTTAAGTGTAAACTGCCAGGAAAGCAGAGGCCCCTGGCTGCATTCCTGAGAGGAGGAGGGAGAGAGCTGGGCCTTTGGGGGCAGGAAGCCGTGGAAAGGCCACTGAGAAATAGGGTCAGATGTACAATTTAAAGCACACCCCCGCCCCGGAGCGTAGAATAGGACAGAGCAGAGGTTAGGAGAGGAGGCAACTCAGGGTAGAATCCTTCCACTGAGTAAAAACACTTAAACACCAGCCATCAGTGCTCTGCTGAGCTTGGCAAGAGACAAGGCCGGAACCAACAGAAGCCAGACTTCCTGCTCCTGAGAAGTGCATGCTATTTGTTCATTTATTTTTAATGATCTTAATTCACAGGGAGAAGCTTGAATTAAGTGATGCTTTTTTGGAAAGGGGTTGAACAGTTAATCTTCAAGCCTAGTGTGACAGATGCACTTTCCTGGTCCCCGGGTTCCCCAGCTCTGGGCTGGGATGAGTGGTTCCTCACCTCTGGATCTGCCGCTAGGCTCCTGCCCGCTTTGGAAGCAGTTGGTCCCCGAAGGATGGAGCAGAGAAGGGAGAGAAAACCCAAGGAGTGGGGTTCTGCCTCAAAGCCCGGTGCCTTGCTTACCTTGACTTTAGGGGTCCTGTTCGGTCCTTGCTGGTGGTGAGCATGACTTCCAGCTTCCTGTCCACTCTCAAACATGACGTGCTGTCCACAAAGCGAGACTATAATGAACTACTCACTGCCGACCCCTGCAGGTGATGCCCACGAGCCAGGGGCCCAGGCCCAGCGAGACGCTGCCCTCATGAAGCTGTCGTCCTGCCGCCTGGAACTCTGTGATGACCCCTGCTACATTAACACGCAGGCACTGCAGAGCACGCTTGGCTCAGCCCGCAGCCAGGGCACAGCCCGGCCCCCTGAGAGCTCGTGGCACCACGGAAGTGAGTACCTCCTCCTCATCCAGGATGGTTCCTGGGTGTCTTCCACCACAGAACTCAGTTCTCTCCCAGTTACCAAACCAGAAGTTCCAAAGCAGGGATCGGTGGCATTGGGTCCTTCTGGAGGTGGACAGTGCTTCCGGCTTCTGGTAGCTGCGGCAGTTCCCAGGGAGAGGCATTGGTCCCCTGGGTCTCCACATGGGTCTTCATATCCCCCTCCTCCCAAGTGTCTGGTCTCAGGGCCCCTCCACGTTCTCCTTTAGGACAGCAGTCACCTGGTATAGGCAGGCTTATCTCATCTCAAGGTCCTTAATTTCGTGATATCTGGGAAGACTTTTGTCACTTAGGTCACATTCCTAAATCGCAGGGATTAGGACTTGAACATCCCTTTGTGGGTGTCAGTATTTAACTTGTTAGACTTTCTCTCACTTTAACGATTATTTCCTTGGCTTCAGGTTTCTGGAGGTAAAAGGATTCTTTATCTCATTATAGTTAATAACAGCACAAATTCATGGAGATATTTTGGGTTTCAAGGTTTTATCACACTGATTATGACTATTTCCCTCAAATACTTTGAATTTACTCTCATTTTTGGTTCCTGTCCTGTGTTCTGCTGGAGGGAGGGAGGGTTGTCAAAGCCGAGGGTAATTTTGAATCTGTGTGCTTCAGGCACAATGACCACCATTTCTATTCTGTTTAGTGATGGCGCTAATTTTGTTCATTTTGAAACCCTTTGATAAGTCGTCCATATGGCACCAAACTAAGACACCTCCTCCTTCAGCCTGTGCAGTGGGCGACATGCAGCAAGACAAGCATCACCCTCCTGCCAGATTGCTTTGGGGCAAACACATAAACATGAGCATAAATATAAATAAAAGCAAAAGAAACCGAAAGCCTACAATCAACTGAAAAATAAAAACAAAAACTGCTTTTCATAAAATATCGAAGCTTGTTGCACTGGTGCAGAGATTGGTTTCTTGTCAAATTTGGTTTGTTGCAGAGTCAGGAAGCCAGTCCCAGAGAAAAGCCTTTCGCCAGCCCAGGAAGTTTCTCCAGACTGCCAAGGGCAACTGTCCAGCCAGCATGGCTGCCATGGGGGGAGGAAATCTAACTGGAGATGGTGTCAGGCCTGGGCTCCAGCACCCTGCCCCGACTCACTAGAGTGGGAGAGCCTATCTCGTCAGCCAAGTGACCACCAGCTTCCCTAGAAGTGGACCCTGAGATGTGGCCTGGGATGCAGGCTGCATGAGGGTCCATCTCAGGAAGCAGTAGAGGAAGTGGGAGGTGGGACCATAGGGGCTGCATGCAGAAGCCTGGGCCAGCCCTGCAGAGCACCTGTTGGTGTCTAGGTTCTCTCCCTCTGGGAGCTCTGCAGTGCCACAAATCTGTGGACTCCAGGGAGGATCAGTTCTTGGGCTGCTGAGGCAGACCCCGAATGGCTTGTTGGCTGGAGGTTGACGTCTATGTTTGGGGCCACTGGTCCTCCTCTGGAGGGTGATCTGTGCGTCTCTGTGTCCACCACCCAGGGCATCTTGTAAGGGGGATGATGGGACAGGGAGTGAATTTGCATTTCTGCAGGAGGCCCTCTCAAGAGTGTCCAGTGTGAAGTGTCCTCTGCGTGAAAATGTAGGGGTGGTTGTAGAAGTAACTGTAAGAGCTCCGCCTCGATAGGAGCCCCTTCCGTTTCCTGGGCTCCCAGAGAGCAGCGCAGGGGAAAAACCCGGATTGATCTGAGGTGTCTTCCACTCACAACTTCAGCCTTTTTATAACCAGGTCTTCAGTATTAAAAAGCTTTATAACTCAAGTGTAGAAACTGCCTTTTGTCACAGAGAATTTACTAACAGGGAAAGGCAAGGTTAATCCATGCAAAATTCCTGTTGATTAGGTGTAAAGTATTTCTGCCACATCCAGCGTTGCAACCTCAGTGTTCCTTGCCTCCCCCCCGCCCCCCGACTCCGGCTCCCTTCTTCCACCCGTTCTCCCTCTCCCGGCTTTGGTGAAGCACATTTCATGCATTCATCCCACAGCTGAGGCCTCTGTGCTCTCCTGCTCTTCGGGCCCTTTTAGGAGTTAATGTACTGTGGTCCCTCTGGGCTCCTTGCTGCCCCCTGGAGGCGAAGGGTAGCCTCACTCCCTTACACCTGCCCCCAAAAAGCCAACTCCAGAAGCATAAATAATGTTGACTTAAGAAAATGTTATGATTAACTTCATGCATATTTTTTCTGTAAATTTTCTACATGGATCTTACATCTCTTCCTCATCATGGTTTCTCCTCTCTCCTTCCTTCTTCCTTAAGAATCCTCTAAAGTGCTAGAGATTTAGCTCAGTGATAGAAGCACCTGCCTGGAAAGCGCAAGGTTATGAGTTTGATCCCCGGTACCAAAAGGAAAAAAAAAGAAAAAGGAAAAAGTCCTCTTCCGGCCAGCCCCAACTACATACCAAGACCCTGTCTCAAAGCACCAAGACTCCTCTAGTCTCTTCAAGCACACTTAGCTTTTTTTAAATCCAGACAACTGCTTACTGACCCAGGCAGTATTAAATAGACAAACCAATACAAAGACCAAAAGAAAACCGATCCAGAGCTGCAAGCCCAGTGTCTCTGCAGCCTGTGCTCAAGGTCCCTCGATCTGTCCTGTCTCCCTGCCAACGGAACCAGAGTGGGCTCGGCAGAGGGGCTCCTGTAGCTGTGCTAATATTTTGCACCTGCTCACGGTTGGTTTCCGTCACTCGCCTTTGCCATTGGGTCCCCATAGGCAGCCTCTCTGCTACGAGGGCCTCCCCGCCTCAGCTCACCCTCAGCTCTTCCTGTCACATTCAGCACATCTGCCCTCTGCTGAGAGGGGTTGTTGCGAACACCCCACACAAATGCGTTATTCGGGGTAGATGGGGTCCCGTTATCTGCCCAGGCGTCCGTGCCCTGTACGCCCGCCCTTCGTGGAGGGATGAATGGGAGGGAGGCGGCTGCACCTGGTGGGCTCAGGGTCACCGAAGGGAGGCCTGAACCGGCAGGTCCGTGGGGTGACAGTCACCCTTTAGCTGGGAGTGAGGTGCGGTTTGCTCAGCTCCGGCTCTGCTCCGTGAGAGGACAGGGGTGTCTGCTGTCACCTGTGGGCCTGGGCCGGGCTGTCCCTCCAGGCTTCGGTCTTCCTCCCTGCCAGGGGACAAGGCGCCTTTCTTGGAGGTGTCACCTCTTTTGCAGCCAGTTCGGTGTTGCCGTGGCCTCGAGAGCACCCAAAGCAGCGCGCTTCTACTTTATTAGATTAGAACCTAGCCACATGAAGGGTTACATAGTGTTCCTTTAATGTCCTCCCGTGTGTTTTTTGTGACAGGGTCTCGGTATATAGTTCAGGGTAGCTCACTATGTAGCCCAGACTGGCCTCAAACCCTTGGTGATCCTCCTGCCTCAGCCTCCCAAGTGCTGAGAATACAGGTGTGCACCACCATGCCTGGGTCTCATTGTTCAAAGGATACGGAGTAAGAGCTCTTTCTTAAGTCATTATTACCAGTTTTCTTCTTTTTCACTTGATCAATTCTCATTTAGGTTTATTGACTTTATTTTTCCAGAGTACTCATTTAATGTGCTCTGTTATTTCATTGATTTCCATTTTCATCTTTATTATGCATTGTACTCTGTGGATTAATGTTTTTCTTTACCCATCTTATTCTACCAGCTTTGTATTTTATTTCCACCATAAAATATGTATTCCACTTGCCCCTTCATATTTTAGATGAGATAGGGAGTCCAGCTTAATTGTATCCACAGGAGTCAACTTTCCAAATCCTATGAGTAAATAATCTATCTTTTCCCTGATACCACTCTGCAGGCTAGGCTCCTGCTGTGTACGTGAGTCTACTTCCAGGCTGCTCCTCAGAAGTTTCCACTGGGCTGCTTTCCTGTTCTGTACCAGGATACTAACCACGACGTACCAATTGCTGTGTCTTGGTAGCATGTCCTCATAGATGAGAAATTCTTCCTTTAGATTATAAACAGTTTCTCTAGGTACCATCTGAGCCTCATCCTTTAATGTTTTATGTCAAGATTTTTCTATTAATTTTGGGCACTTTATGAAGATACACTGATTTTCTCCTCTCAGTGGTGAAAGAAATTTATATTTTGTCATTTTTGTGCAAAAATTTCTGTGGTGCAATTTTCACACACGCAGTCAGCCTTGGTCATGAACAATGTATAGTCAGTTCTCAGTAGTCACAGATTTCCGTTTGAGAACTGGCTTCCTCTCTCAGATGTCAGTGTAACTCCAAAACCAATGCTGCCAGAGCTTTTGCGTCATCTGCAGACATGCGCAGGGCAATAAAAGTTTCAGGACCTCCAATGCCCACCACCCAGCTAAGGTCAGATAAGGAGAAGCTCTGCCTTCCTGTTCCGGTTCTCATCCTGTCAACAAATGTCCTTTTGTGGTCCACTTAGCACCATGCTTTTTACACTTTTGTGCCACTTACTGGTGAGTTCACTGTTAAAATATCCTCCTGCATGGGAGATTGTGGTGTGTGTTACAGAGGAAAATCCAAGTTACACATAAAGTCGATTGACTGACTATAAATTCAGCATTAACCAGTATGTACTGAACAGGGTGACTTTAAATGTAAACCCGTATGCAGTAAAACTGCCTGATCAGTGAAAACATTTTGACTCAGGTTTGTAAGAACTTCAACCCTGTCTTTCTCTTAGGAAGCATCCCATAGTTTTCACTAATTCAGTGTTTGTGGCAACTTACAAAATGTAACTGCTGCAAAAACCACAGTTGACAGTATTTAGGGTTCCTTCCAACAAGAAAGAGAATCCTAGCATGAGAAGAAAGGGCAGCTGTCGGGAAAACTGAGAGTCCCCCAGCCCCAAGGCAGCTTTGTGTCTTTCTGATTGTTTCTTTAACTGTGTGGATATCATGACTTTTGTATACATTCTATTCTACGGGCAGGTTATGCTTTTGCATTTTGGTGATACTGGGAATTGAACGTCTTCATTGAATTGCACCCACAGCCTGGTTTTATTTTTATTTGAAGACAGGGGCTTGCTAAGTCACTGGATTGAATTCACTCTCTTCCTGCCTTGGATTCCCTGAGTACGGGGATTACAGACATGCTCCTTCAGGCCTGGTTTATAGATAGTTTTCTTGTTTTCAATTCAAAAGTAGTACATATGCTTAGAACAGAAATTATTATAATAAATGATGTAAAAGGAAAATAGTAAAAATTCCTTCCCAGGCCAGGGAGCTAGATAAGCAGCATAAGTGCCTGCCTGGCAAGCCCAAGGTCCTGAGTTTGATTTCTGGTATCAAACATAAATAAGTAAATATTCCTTCCCATGCCCTGATACTATATCCAAGTCCCTGGTTGTTACCACTTTCTTCTGATCACCTTCAGGATAGTCATGTGTGGTTGATACTACTTGTCTACCTCACCATCTCCTTTAAAGATGAAATGAAAGCCATGACAAGGCCCTTTCATTCCTTCTGATTTTCCGTTCTAGAGCATTGTCTGTATTAGCTTCTGATCTTCACTGCTGTCAGCTGCTCCATGGTTCCATTTTATCAATGTATCATAATTGATACTATATTCTCTTATGAGTGGAGATTAAATTTTTCCAGTTCTTTCTTAGTATAATGATCAACACTATCGTAATCAATACAGTGGTCAATACTGCTTTTTAAAAACCGAATTTATCATGTGCCATAGTTCCAGATCACACTAGTTTTCTTTGAGAATGTCTCATTCTTCCTTTCTCATTGAAGTTACCTACAATGTTTAATCCAGATTTTTGCATATTCTATATATTTTTTGCATCTTAGAGCTGTGTTCTCCCTTTTGGACTTTCTGTCCATCAGAGTGGTGTGGGTGCTGATAACCATGTCCGTCCTGCACCTTCTCGAAGTTGTGATTGCAAACACTATGTCTTTAGTTGCTAATAGAAGCTCTGAGATGACTGGTGATTTTCTTCCATGCTTTCTGTCAACTTTGTGGGGTAGAAAGTTTCACTGAAATCTAGAGTGGTACTCCTTAGCTTTCAATGCTTCTAGGAAAATACCTAAAGCCAATAATTTATTAAATTCCCTGTAGAAACTATATAATAACTACATTTAGATTATGATTACTGTTTGCAAAGTCGGCTCTGTTTAAGAACAGTAGCAAGAAATGGTAATGTGCCATAGTATTAAGAGTGTTTATATTTAGTGAAGGCACCATATGTGATTTTCTTTGTTTTTCTGTTTCCTAGATGTAAAAAATTTAGCCAAAATGATTTTTTAAGATGAGAAAAATAAAAGCCACATATTCTGCTGTTGGCAGGATTCGATTTTCAGCAGATGTTGGAGCGGTGAACGTTCCCAGCACGGTGGGGTCTCGTCCCCATGCTAAACTGGGAAACCATGTCAGGAAGACAGCGAACTCGTCCTCTGGCTGGCCCAGGACCTGCTGCCTTTTTCCGAGATGATATAATGTCTGCTTCTCGTTTGTTTTGTCCTTGTGCAAAAGCCCCTCACCATCATCTAGGATGAACCAGAATCCACTGCGTACTAGCATGTGTGCGTCAACACACACACACATGCACAGTCTCACACTCATGCATGCGTGTTGTGACCCATGCACACGCAGAGCTCTTCCTTAGACCTCTCCACTGTGCTTGAGAGTGGGTGGCACCGTGGCCAACCACAACATCATCCATCAAGTCTGGACACATTTCATGAGGCTTTTTCTGGCAACAGTAGAAACACTTTATTATTTGTAGAAGAAAATTGTTTCCAGTCAGTACACTTACAGATATTTTTAAAAGATATTTGAGGCTGCTGCATGTAACTGTTATGCAGAAAGCAGTCCCTCAGCAGGGACAGAACTGCACCACATTAACAGGAGGACGGTGTTGCGACCACAGGGCCCTGGTGGCCTGTGCAGGACTTTGCAGAATGGCTCTGTACAGGTGGTAAAGCTTAAAAGGTCAGAGGAATTTCTCGTTGCTGAGATCATTGCATAAGGCTGTAAAGAGTCCTTTGCATTAATAAAGTAGAGTGAATTTCTAAACAAAGTGCCCTTTGCATATTATGGTTATTTCCCGGTAAATTCCATCAGATGTGATGGGTTTTCTCTGAACTCAGTGTAAGAATCTCTGCTGTTCCTCTGGAGATGCCGCACACCGTTCTGATGGCTGGGCCCTCTGCTGGGGATGTCGTGGCTACTCCAGAGGAAGAAGGCAGGGGCAGGTTTTGAAAAATGGAAATAGTTTCATACCCAGGGCCAGAGCCTTGGGTATAAATCTTAGTGTATAGGTGAGAGTGTAGGTTTTGCAGTCAGACGGTCCTTTTTCTAACCCCAGACCTGCAGCGTGTTAGCAGGGTGACTCTGTGTCGCTTAACCTTTCTGAAGATCATCCTTCAGCCCCTTGGGTTTTGAAAGAAAGGTGGCACAGAGTACTCGTGGGTTTTCGCAGTGCTGTCACAATAAACAGGAGTCACACAGTAACTATTAGCACCGTAACTATTAGCACAGTAACTATTAGTAACCGATAATGATGCGGGCTCATGAACGACACTGCCTCCTTCCCAGAGCTCTTCACGCTGAACAACGCTTACTCCACAGGGCCCCGGGGCCTTGCTGTGGCCAGGCCTCATTGGCTGGTGCACACTTCCTTTAACCTGGTCAGCTCTGTTTTGTCCAGGTAGGTTAACAGGCAGCAGAAAGGTCCTTTAATAGGAGTGCTAGGAGGTTTAGCATAGCTTTATAGAATTTTTGGTTGAAGAATGTGTCAAAACACATTGGCAATTTGTAAATTAGTTTTAACAGAGAAGGGCAGGCATGATGGCGCACATCTATAATCCAGGGCTCTGGGAGGCTGAGGCAGGAGGATCATAAATTCATGCTTATTCTGGACAATTTAGTGAGATCCTGGCTCCAAAAATAAAAATAAAATAAAAAATTAAATATATATATATATATATATATAGCTGAGGATATAGCTCAATTTGAAGGCCCTGAATGCAATCCTAGTCACATAATGGAGAGAAAAGCTAAATGTTAAGGAGCGGGCACAGTCCAAAGTTCCTGTTCCTATTTTGCGGAAGGGATCTGTGGTCCAGGGCCAGCGTGAGCCTCTTCCTGTCTCACATGCAGCCTCGAGGACATAGATTCTCACTCTGCCGTCACAAAATGGGAGCTGGCTCCATCTCTGGTCTAAAGGAGAGCTACATCTGAGCGACAGACAGATGCGAAAGGCCGTGTTTGGGTCTCTCGATAAATCAGAGGGAGATGGGGCCGTTGTTTCAGCATTGCCCGGCATGCAGTAGGCCCTCCAGTCCTGTTTGCTGAATGACTGCAGGGACAGATGGGTGAGGTGGCCAGGCAGTGATGTCTCTTTGTGTTCTGACTCCAGGGGCCCCGGAGACCGTGCAGCCAGGTGCCACAGCCCAGCCCGCCGGCTCCCACCCTCTGTTGCACATCAGGCAGCAGCTGTGGAGCGAAGACTGCTACCACGGCCGGCTGAGCAGGAAGGCTGCCGAGAGCCTCCTGGTGAAAGATGGGGACTTTTTGGTTCGAGAGAGCGCAACATCCCCTGGCCAGTATGTGCTGAGCGGGTTGCAGGGTGGCCAGGCAAAGCACCTCCTCCTGGTGGACCCCGAAGGCAAGGTACCCTCATCTTCTTCCACACCCCTTCCCCAGCATGTGGGTCTGTTAGGCTTTCTCTGAATGGCGTCCAAAATCTGCTACTGTGTGATGCTCAAGGCTGTGCATTTATTTTTTCTTGAACCTTCCAGCTGGAGCAGGAAATGCTAAGCAAAAGCTAAGGGAAGGGTCCCGGAGTAGCAGATGGAGACCTTTCTGCCTCTCAATCCAGTCGCGATACCTCCGATTAAGCGATACCTACCTCGTGGGTGTTCACTTCTGCCTTGCTCATTACCACTTAAATGGTTCTTGCTCATAGAAGGCTTAGAATTTCCTGCTCATAGGATGCTTAGAATTCCATAGAGCAGGTGTCTAAATAGTAAGGCAGAACGAGATAAGGGTGGTTCATCTGAAGCATTGCAGTGTTTATCAGGATAGAGTTTGTTCTGGTAGAGGCAAACCGAGAAGGCTTTGCATAGGGTCTGTCATGTAAGATAAACCCTGGAAGAGAGAATTTCAAAAGCAAGTTTGGAGTCTAGGAAAGGAGCCATAGGAGCAGACTAAATAATAGGATGGTATTCAGTCCATAGAAGACACTTGGCTAGAGCCGAGAATGCCTTTGACAGATAACAGTCCTGGAAAGGTCGGTTGGAGCTGTCATGTGGGGTGGGAATAGAGACTGAAGGTCTCATTTGCAGACCTGGTGATCTCGGCAGTTTTGGAGCAGGAGAATGATAAAATCCTTATGTGCAATGTGACAGCAGCAGGAGAAAGTTCCAGGGCCATCATCAGAAGAGAACATCCTAGCTCTCCTTGGCTAACAGAAACCCCAACTTTCCGGTTCTCTGTGGACCCACAGATCTTTATGAGAATTCTAGAGCCCAGTTAAGATCACCCCAGGGGGCCTACAGCCCAGAACTCTCATGGGGAATTTGCTAAGGAGAGCAGTTTCACTTTACCCAGCCACACAGAAAGGACCTTCTGGCTCAGGGCCCTTTTCCTAGAGGGGGCGGAGCAGAGTGGAGAGTGGGTCCCCGGGCTCCACTTTTTCAAAGCATTGCTGCTGGGGGCACTGCTTTGTCTTGGCTCACGTGGAGCGCTCACAGAACCATCATCACTGGGGTGCTGGAAGCTGTTGAGAGGGAAGAAGGGCGCTGGAATAGTGTGTTGCAGCTAACCTAGCTCGGTGCCTTGGGGAGGTGAACCGTGTGTGGCTTCTCTCCCAGGACAAGAGGAGTGAGGTGTGCGTCCAGCATCCTAGCTTCTTAGGGTGCTTCCCAGTGGCCTGGACTCTGACTTGCCTGACTGCGGCGCTGGTGGGAGGTCAGCATAGCTTGGATGTCCAGTGACTAAACTGCTGCTCCAGAGGCCGAGAACTTAGGTGCCACAGAAAGATACTGGGGAGAGGAGGGACTACAGCTCCTCTGGGCCTGGCTGGCTCTGATTGTGAGGCTGAACACAGGCCCAGGGAAGTCACCTCCCCCATCAGCGATCAGAGGACTCCAGGGTCGCAGTGGAGCTGCTTTGAGAAGGTGTTTCCATGTGTGAAACTGGGGTGCTGGGGTGAGAGAGTTGGCTACATCCCAATACAAGCTGTGAGACTCACCCAGGGCCAGGGAAGAGGGACCCAGAGGAAGGAACTAGATAAATGTCTAGGAACTCTTCCTACAGAATGGAGGTATGTGAGTACCTGATACAGAATTTGAAGCAGTTATCACCGAGATATTGTATGAGTTCAAGAACACAATCCATGGACAGATAGAGAAATCAACAATGCGAAAGACAGTAGAAAAAGGAGCAGAGCAAAAACTCTGGAGCTGCTAGAACGTAGTAACTGAACTGAAAAATTACTAGAGGAGTTCAGTAGTAGACTTGATCAAACAGAAGGAACAATCAGTGAACTCAAAGGTAATTCTTCTGAAATTGTCCAGAGGTATTGTAATCCCAAATATTGAGTACAGTTATCCAAGTATCATAATCCCCTTTCCAGTTTACCACACAATCCAAAAAGTTACACTTGTAATCCCATTGAGACATCATTGGAATCCCAGCAAGTTAATTCCAATCTACCACCTCCAATGCAACACACGGCGAGAGTAAAGACACCAAGACATGTTCCAAATTAAGGGCAGTGAAGGGGTCCTAAGTCCAGTCCCTTTGAGGATGGGTGGACAAGGGCCTTGATCCTAGCCCTCTCCCAGAATTTGTTACCTTGTGAAGAAGGGAGTGGCTCGGGGATGAGTGACAGTGAGGATGGTGGGAATTATGTCAGTAACTTGAGCTGGCTGGCCAGGTAGGGAGAAAAGCATCTCTGCAAAATGTACAGATAAAAGGATATGCAGAAGGATCAATTTCCATAATTCAATTAAGGCAGCAATTGAATTGTTTTTGGTGGCTGTTGCTTCAGTTTCCGATATGTAAACTTTTATGCCCTGGGGACTCATAGCCTCTTTACCTTGAGGCTCATATCCAGTTTACATTCCAAGAGCTGATGACTCTACCATCCCGCTGTGTTTATATATTTTAGAGAGAGCATAATGTGAGGAAACAGGAGACTGTCTGATGGTTGTGGAGATTACACATCAGTACCTCTGCTAGCCTTATTTGCAATGCTTAGAGCCAGTTGAAGAGAGAAGGAAATACCATAGCCAGCTCTCTACATATCAGTATAAGGAAATAAGTCTCAGTATAATCAAAGTTGCAGCAATTGTTCTGCATTCAAGGGGAGTCACTCAAGTTGACTCCACACAGTGGAACAAAAAGAGAAAAAAAAATGAAGAAAATCTAAAGAACCCAATGTACTATAGGAATCTAAAAAGGAAGACATGTGAGGGGAAGAGGCAGAAGTTTATTTAAAAAATAATTGCTGAAAACTCTCAAACCTGGAGAAAGAAATGCACACGATTCAAGACGCCCAGCAGACACCAAGTGTGAGGAATCCAAAGCAACTGGAACAAGGCACATTGTCACCGAGTCCCCAAAAATCAAGGGTAGCCTTTAAAAATGAAGGAGAAATACTTTCTGAGATAACCAAAATCTGAAGGGATTCACAGCCACTAGACCTGCTGCTTTACAGAAATGCTAAGTAGACTTTCAAGATAAAATAAAAAAGAGGATAAACAGCAGCATGAATGCACATGAAAGCAGACAGCTCATTGATAAAGGTAAATATACAGACAAATAAAGAAAACGAATACTGTGATGATGCTGTATAAGTGACTTAATTCTGGTGTAGATGTTAAAAGAAAAAAGTATAAAAAATTATAAGATAGGTTCATGGATAGTCAATAAGAGAAGATATAATTTGTAAAATCAACAGCATAATGCATGTGTGTGGTAAAAACATAGACTATTTGCATGGCATTAAAGTTAATTTGTTATCAGCTTAAAGTGCATTGTTATACAATGTTTTACGTTAGCCACATGGTAACTACACATGAAATAACTGTAGAAGATTCACAAAGGAATCAAAGCTTATCACCACCACCCCCAACCCCAAAAACCAATGAAACACTGAGACATCAAGAGAGAAAAAACCTGGGCTAGAGATTTAGCTCAGTGGCATAAGCACCTGCCTTGCAAGCAGGCAGTTGTGAGTTCGATCCTGGGTACTGGAAAAAAGAAAAAAAAAAAAAAAAAGAGAGAGAGAGAAAAAATCTGTTATACACAGAAAACAGTTAACAAAATGGAAGAAAATAAATTCTTCCCTAGCAATTACTACTTTAAATGTAAATAGATTAAGTTCTGCAAATCAAAGGATGGAGTGGATTTTTTTAACCGTTCAACCATTTTTTAAAAGTTTAAAAATAGTAAAATACAACAGAACAAGACAGAACAAAGCCAATTGAGACCATGTAGTGAAATTGATACAGAACTTATCAGCAGGTTACTGGGATAACCACAATAGGTATCACAGTATATCTCGTTATCTTCACAATAGTTGTTCTTTCAATCACTTGTATCAAAATAAAATGAAATACAGAACATTATAAAACTTATCAAAATAGAATGTTGAATAGAGCAGTACCATTAACCAGAATAAAGCAAAACAGTAATAAAAATTTTTGCCTTCAAAGAGATGGTAGAAGGAAATCCCCCTTATTTGCTATGGTCAACTTCCCAGGAGATGCTCAGATTTCTGGTTCCCATTTGCTAATGGGAGGACAGGGGAAGCGGGGTAGGGGAAGTGGGATGTTTGACTCTAGGCTGTGCACCAGTAGGCTCACTATTGCTTCACAGGGAAGCAGGCTAGTTGCTTGGCTTCCCAGTGTCCTAAGTTCCAACATGGTGTGGATCTCAGAAGACATTGGTGGTTCTCCCCCTGGAGGGGCCGTAGTCTGCCATACCACAGCCACTTACAAGGGAGGCGAGCTGCTTGCTTGGCTTCCCAGGGTCCTAAGTTCCAACATGGCTCGGACCACAGGAGACACTGGTGGTGGTTTTTTTTGTTGTTTTTGTTTTTGTTTTTGGTACCGGGGATTGAACTCATGACCTCATGCTTACCAGGCAGACGCTTATACCACTGAGCTAAAATCCCCAGTTGGAGTGGATTTTTTTAAAGATCCAACTATGTGCTGCTATTCAGGTGACCAGCTTTACATGGAAGGAACCAAATATGTGGCTGCAACTGAAAAGACAGAAAAAGATATTCCATATAAAGATGGTGAAAAGATAGCAGGGGTGACCATACTTACATCAGACAGAGTAGGCTTCCAAGGGAAAAAGTTCCCCCCAGAGCAGACAAGGACATGATATAATGGTAAAAGGATGAATTCATCAGGAAGATAAGATGTTTATAAATGTACATGAAGGCCAACAGCAGAGCACCCAAATATATGAAGCAAACATTCTTTTTTTTTTTTTTTTTTTTTTTGTCTTTTTCATTTTTATCGGTACCGGGGATCGAACTCACGACCGCCTGCTTGCAAGGCAGGTGCTTATGCCGCTGAGCTAAATCCCCAGCCCTGAAGCAAACATTCTTAAGACTAAAGGGGAAAATAGAAAACAGCACAATACAGAGGATT